TCTTTCTTATGTTGAGCTGCAGACAGTTTTAGCTCCAGTTGCACCTCATATGTTCAGAGGGAGAAGGATCTTCTGGTTAAAGGTAGCACAGTGGTAGTGTCCCTTCTCCTGGTCTGAGAGGCCCAGGTTCAAGTCCTACTTGCTCCAGAGGAGTGTAATAACATCTCTGAATAGGTTGATTACAAAATAGGTTAAATTTTTTTTTAAAAAGGGTATTCGGATTGGGGTGTCAGCCTGGAATGGGGTTGGGTTATTGCTAATAAAATCAGGGCTTGCATATAGATTTCAATCCCCATTTTTGAGGTCATACATTCTGTTGTTATATTTATATCATACCTTGATTCAGTATGCCAAAATGAAATAGCAAAACTTATGATGTTTAATGGTAAGTTGAGCAGAGATATTTGGTCATAGGAACTTTTCTGTAGTACTAACTGAAGGAATTGCAAAGCACTTAACTAAGCAGCCCCCCACTGTAATTGCAGTGTGATCACTTTACTTTTAATAAATGTGGTTTTGGAATTTAGATGCTAAAAAGTTTGATTGTGTGTACAGATATTTTAATGTATTACCGATTGTATAATAATAGATTATATATAATATTATACATTTTATATATTATGTATATTGTACTGTAAATAAAGCCATTATTTTAATATTATTTTAAGTTTATTTTCTTCCATAATATTTGCATTGGGCATAGTAGTAGTGTATCCGGCTAAAGCTCCAGTGATTTTTAATGGAAATTGGGCCATTCAAGTTCTTTGTTTTCTTTATTTTTGGGATGAGGGTGAACTTTGTATTCTTTGAGTTACATAGTGGATATTACATTGTTTTCTAGGTGCTGTGTGTTTTCCCTATGTTTTTGCTGTCTATATTGTCCTCTGTGGTGTGTGCTTTGTGTTTTTCACTCTTTTCATTTTGTTATTTGCTTTGTATTATTTGTTGTGCTTTATTCTCTCAATTGTATGTTCTGAGAACATTCAGCCCATTTCATCGAGCACTTTACTTGATTTTTTTCCCCGTACCCCAAGGCAATGTTTGACCCATTCAGTTAGACATGTAAGTAGAAGTGACATTGAATTATACAATTTCAATAACGTGTAGCTGAAGAATAACATAAATGGAAAAATACGTCAGCAGCACGAGATTAAGTTACAAGCAATTCTAAAAAGATAGACATTCTTTGAGTTATGTATGAGGATTTATTTATGTTAGGGTAAAAAACTCAGAACTTACATTTATTTGCACCGTTCGTGTCCTGAGAACATCTCAAAATAATTTACAGCCAATGAATTACTTTGGACGTGAAGTCACCATTATTATGAAGGCAAATGGTGCACAATAAGGTCCCTTGAACGTGAAAAATGACTAGTTAATCACTTGTTTGTTTCAGATCTCTAGCATCCTCGGTTCTTTCTCCTATTATAATTACTCTGGTGGGCTTTGATTGATGGGAGTAGTCTAATAGGTCCATTGAATTTGTTTCGCTATTAGATCATTGGTGATTAGACTCTTAACTCCATCTATCTGCCTTGGTTGTATCATTATTAATATTATTTCCTAAGAAAAATATATTAAGTTCTCATTTGAAATAGTTCCGTTCGATCTTTAATCTCCAGCTCAGGCCAGAACTTTAATATGAAAATTTGTGCTTTTAAAGATATTGTACTGCCAGAGTACTGAGATAAAGTATGAACCTAGATTGTGAGCTCAAGTCCTCGATTGAGACCTAAACCATGACCTTCCTAAACTGTGGAATTGCTTGTGTATTTTCATCACGTCTTCAGTCACTATGTCAACATATATCCCTGCTTCCACTTGGGTCAAATGCTCACCAACCTCAGAACGAAAATAATGCTGATTGCAGTTGAGACACCATTATCACAACGTCATGAACAAAAAAACTATTGATTCTTTAATGATGCAGAATCCCAAGATGGATTAATCACTAATCTGATCAGACAAACAAATCAATACTGATTAAATGTGGCTCAAAATAGAATGATCTGGGTCAAGAGGAAGGAGTAAATTAGGGAGAGAAGAGTACAAACTATCCAATTAAAGGATGAAATTTCTATTTTTCATTCATTCACTCAGTGATCAACTTCCTATATGCCTGTCTATTACAAGATTACTACAGCATCTTGCTTGCAAAAGGTATTATTAATTATAAAAGGTAAGATTTTATTATTTCCAATCTACAGTAATAGTTTTAGGAAATAGAAGACACTGGAATATCTATGTGGAGTGTGGAAAATATAGTTTTTCTACCATGTGCATATAAGCCATATGCTTAGCTTTGTTCTGAAAATTTCTGTGCTTAAAACTAGTATCACATTGATAAACGGAAGATTTTCTACTGGATCCCCCTGAATATTGAGCATTTTCAGTTCAGGTATAGGGACAGCAAGATGTACAAAAAGGCTGTTTCCATCCCATCACAACATACACTTCCAAATCAGGCATAGCATAGATTAGATCTCTGGAAAATCATCGTAATATGGTTTAAATTCCAGCCACTGAAAATAATCCATCACAGCCATCCTTGTATCCTTCCCAAGTAATGTATTAAAGATGACCTATCTGTAGGCTTTTTATCTCTGATTCATGAAGTTTCTGTAGCAAGGAAGGAGACCCCTCACCCTCCTGTATCTGCACCAGCTTTCCAAAAGAGGAATTTACCCAGCACCTTTCCTTTACCATCTCCCCTTAGCTTTGAACATCATTGATGAACTTATGTTGTTATGTTTGGATTTAATTGTAAACTGTTATTTTGAAATATCAGTAACTTACCAGTTACTGTTCTTGATGTGTCACCTCTGTAATCTTGAATTTTCTCAAATATTCAATCCTAAGCTGGGAAATAGATGACAGTTTTCTTTGGCAATCTGCGTTCCATATGAATGAGATTATATCTTTATTCATGGTATGTATGGGTTGCCTTTTCCAGGCTAACAATTAATCGTTAATCACTGTATTTGATGGGCAATGTAAGGTACCTACAAAATTCTGGCATTTCTTCTGAAGATGAAAAATAACATGTTGTCAAGACATGACTATCCGGTAAAACTACTTACTGAAATGTATTTAAAAGTTGAATAATGTATAGAAACCTAAAAACACAACAATTACTAATTTCGCACAATAATTAAAAGACATTAATTTACAAGTTCTGACTCTTTTTACTTCTCAGAAAACTTACAAAAATAATCTTCTGATGACGTGTATGGCAAAAGTTTCTCATGGAGCTCCTACTGGTCCTGTCAGTTGTTAAAAGTGAGATGAGACCCTGAATCAAAACTAGTCTGGTCCTGATAATTCTATGCAGTAGCTACCCGTAAAGCAAGGTAATCTTGGCCAGCAGAAGTAAGTTCAGTCCTCACTTGAAGAAACCAGCAGCCTGTTCGACAGGCCCACTGTTGTTAACTGGTTGGATGGTATGAACTGGCAATATAGGAATTAAATGAAAGAAATTCTCAACTCCTCGTAAGAATTCCACAATAAGTCAAGGAACTTTGCCATAATAATGTATTTTAAAATAAGAAATTCCAGTCAGTGTCTAGTTCCTATGTTTTTAATTTCTTTCTGACTTTTGTTATTTTGATTATTGATGATATTGGGAGATAATAATAAGAAGGAGAGCAAAACACATTGGGATAGGGAGGAAATTAATAATGTAAAAGAGAACTTGGTTGAAAGATTGAACCTGATAGGTTGTAAGGCTATTAATATTAGGCCACTGCTTTATTTTCTAAATTGATTGAACAGAATTTTTTTATGTTGAATGAATGAGGGCATGCATGTTACAGCCGTACAAGACATTGGTAAGGCCATACTTGGAGTAGTGCGTGCAGTTCTGATCATCCTGCTACAGGAAGGATGTTACTAAACTGGAAAGGATGCAAAAAAGATTTATAAGGATGTTACTGAGATTGGAGTGCTTGGGATGTAGGGAGAAGCTGGATAAGCTGGGACTTTTCTGCCTGGAACATCGGAGGCTGAGAGATGACTTTTTAGAGGTTTGTAAAATCATGAAAGGCATGGGTGAGCCGAACAACCAAGGTCTTTTCTCCAGGGTAGCGGAGTCCAAAACTAGAGGGCATAGGTTTAAGGTAAGAGGGGAAAGATTAAAAAGGTACCTGAGGACCAATATGGAGGGTGATGCATACATAGAATGAGTTGCCAGAGGAAGTAGTAGAGGCGAGTACATTTACAACATTTAAAAGACATTATGGAACGGTACATGGATAGGAAATGTTTTGAGGGATATGGGCGAAATGCAGGCAAGTGGGACTAGTTCAGTTTAGGAAACCTGGTTAGCACGGAAGAGTTGGGCTGAAAGATCTGTTTCTGTGCTGTATGACTATATAACTGGAGACACAGGGATGAGATTTTAACTCAAAACCCACAAAGTTAACATTGGACCCAAACTGTAGATTCAGCTTCCTGAACAACTCTACGGGTCAATAACTGTATATGTTACAGATAATGCTCTGGTTCCCTTACAATATCAGGTCTGTCTCTGTTACTGTTCAGGTTGTCAATTTAACCTAAAGCCTGCCATATTGTGGCAGTACAGAAATCCCTTTGCTGTTGAATTGTTTGAAGTTTGCACCAAGTTTGAAATCTCTTCATGTCAGTTTTCATCCAGATTGTTATCTTTTGACATTTTATTTGAAGGAGGGCATTTGATGGAACCTGGCAGGATTGGGTTTCACTCATCTCCTGTGGGGCTGAGGTGTTAACAATATATCAGAGTGTATTTCAGAAAATATTCTTTCTCGCACCCCTCCCCCAACCCCTGCCACTCCAATGAAGTATAAAGAAAACTGAAATTACATTTGTACTCATGAATTGTTTCCTCTTTTTCTCACTTGCAGTGTGAAGTGAAACATCAAGGGCGAAATATTTGCTTTTAACAAAGCGCTGTAATTCATTGTGCTGTGATTTCATAACTCATAAACCGTTCCATATGAAGTGGATGTAAATGTCCAATGATGGGGGAGACAGAACAAGCTTCATTGGAGATTATTTTACCCCCAAGTCTGAGGCAGACACAGCTGGAGGAAATGGCCGAAGCAACAGGCAGCCAGGCTGCTAAAAGTGAAACTCTACCAAACAGAGGGAACTGGAAGGGAAGATTTGACTTCTTACTTTCCTGTGTTGGATATGCCATTGGACTTGGGAATGTCTGGCGTTTCCCTTACCTCTGTGGCAAAAATGGCGGAGGTAGGTCAAACTACTAAATATATGCTTTCCGAGGAGGCTTCAGTGAATTGTGAGGCGGCAAAAGAAAATCTATTCTCTGTGTATATGAGTTGGTCTCAGAGGCTTACAGGCAGAAATTTTGGAACAATCAAGTGTAGCCTGTGCAGACTTATTTAGAATTTGAGAGGGTAAAGCAAATTACTGTGAATCACTGGAATCGACTATGAAGGTAGAAGCCACATATGAGACCTTCAGAAAAATAGTTCTCCGGAATTTAAAAATTCCCGCCCTCCATGAGTAAGAACCCACACGGAAAATCAAAAGGTTACAACAGCCAGACAGGAAGCTCAGATGTTTGTTGATTATGAGTTAGTTCGGATGTTCAGTTTTCCATTGCCACGAACCCAAGAACAATAGAAGGTGACAGGGTAAAAGGAAAGCCCCTAGCCAGGGAAGTGAAGGGACAGCTGGGAATACCCACAATTAACTTCTCATGCCAGAAAAGATGACATTCTGGGTGCAAGTGTTATCCAAAAGCCAAAGTGTTTCCACTGTTTAAACATGGGATACATACATGCAATCACTGAAAATTGCAGGGCAAACATGGGGCTTCCTGGGGACACACCGTGTCAATGTAGAGAAAAGAGCTCTGACAAGAGTATGACAAATCAAGTTCTACCGCTGATTGCAGTTGTGAGGCCAAGTACAAACAGCGCTTTGATTATGGGGTAGATGAATAACATACCTGGGAACTATAGGGAATTCTAATCTAAAGGAAAACAATTAATTCCCTCTCAATGAAACAGGTGAACATGTTATTACACTCATGGAAACAGGAGCTACCCAAATTTTTTTGCTGGGAAAGACATACCTTTGCCAACAGAGAGCGCATTGAATGCAAAGATTTTAGTGAATGCTAATGGTGGGGAGTATATTCCATGTCTTTCTATTGGGTGGCACTGGAATGCAATCTAATGTTTGAAAAGGTAACAGTCAGATTTAGCCATAGTTGATCTGCAAGAGAGTTTGCCTCCTTCTAGTGAGGTCAAGGAGACCAAGCAATTTCAAGAAAAGGTTCTTCGAATTTTTACTTCATGTGTAGTAATCTGAGCAATGGCTAAATAAGTTCCATTGTCAAAGGTCAAATTGGCAACACAGACAGATACTTTTTTGAGGAATTTGGATTCAGCAAGCTGATCCAGAGTTAAGTAAAATAGCATAGTTGCCTCAAACTGAAATTGAAGCAGAGGGAGTTCAGAAATGTCACTATATTAAAAATCAAATTCTGATGAGAAAGTGTAGACTTTCTTGCAGACCTGCACATGAAGATTTGGTAGTCATTCACCAGAAATTGATGCTGCCCGTATATTGTTAAGCAATGTTAAGGATAGCCCATGAAATTCCTCTGGTGGGACTTGCAGGAATCTGTTAAATCACTGTACATATTGATTGATGTTTTGACTGGCCAGAATTTCAAAAGGATATAGTGTAGTTTTGTCAGACATGCCATACACACCAGATTGTGGAAATACAGCAATCTGCAATCAACATAGCACCTGTAATTCCCATACCCCTTTTGGTGAACTATTTAGTAGACTGTATAGGACCTTTACCAAAACTTAGAATGGGACACCAGTACATTCTTATTATTATGGATATTGCTACTCATTCCCAAAGGCCATTCCCATGAGAACAGTTTCTGCCAAGGTAGTGGTTGAGTATTTATGTCACTTGTTTTTACTCAATATGAAGTACCGTTTGTGATCCAATCAGATTAGAGTTCCAATATTATGTCTAAAGTTTTTCAATATGTTATGAGCAGTTTGGGCATAATACAGCCATTTTCCTTAACATAGCACTCACAGAAACAACGGATTTTAGAATGGTACTGTCAAACCCTCAAAACAACAATAAGGACATACTGTAATAAAGCAGAGGTTGACCCCCCTCTGAAAACTAAAACTGAAACACTTGAAGCAGAGCACCCCATGCTATAATCTGTAATAAAGAGTGTGAAAAGTGGTGTAGCCTGCCTCTCAGCGACTTCTAGTGGTTAAACAAAATAAACCCCTGTCACTCTACAATTAACAAGTCAATTTATTTATCTAACTCTTAACAGTGAAAAAATTAACTAAACTATTAATAAACTGAATAAATTCCTTTTGACTACTAACTGTTCCTGAATAAAACAAGATTCTAATGGTATGCTGATCCAATAAATACAAGTCCCACTTATATAAAATAGAATTAAAAAATAGAATTTAGCCTCTCGAAATTACAGCCAGGTTATGTGCCTTCCAGAATGTTCTGTGTCTTCTCCGTTGAAGCTTCTGTCAGGAACGCCTTCTCTGTTGAATGCTCTGTCAGGAATGCCTTTTCCATCAAATGTTCTGTCAGGAATATTAACCAAAGTTACCTTTGATTTAGATGGTACTTTCTCTAAAACCTAGAGAAGACTGTGAGAGCTAGCTATTCTCTCTAGAGAACAGAGAGATGTTAAAACTTGCAGATTGCAGTTCACTCCTCTGTCTTTGGCCAACTGCCCCTTCTTTTGTACTCTTGATGACATATCAATATTTCTTACAATAGGATTAGTCCTATGTTGTCAAAACCATCAGATTTAAATTTAATTGTTTTTTGGTATTTAGGTACCTGGTTCAAATTCATTGGCTAAATTCAAAACTTGTCTTGATTATAAAACAAAAATGCTGATTGGCCAGCCTTTTGGTACAAATGTTTCAATTCAGGTGCTCTCTGCACCTGCAAACCCACAAGCTGCAGCCTACAGATCCTTTTAAAATCTCTATGCATAGGAAAAGCACGTCATCTTTTAAAGGGACCATGCACTGCTTACCCCTAGCATTTTACAAACACCAAATTCTAACTTCCTGCCTCCTAATCCACAAGTACTCTATTCAACTTTGCAATAATACTGTCATGAACATCCCCATGATTGTGATAAATAACAAGAATTTCTTTTGTTTGCCACATGGAATGCACCTGATGAGTCTAATGAGTTTTGGATTTGGATTAGTTTTTGAATTAGTTTATGGACTGAGAATGTGGGACAATCTTTCCTATAGAACAGCATCCTTATTACTTAAGTCCATAGAAACAGTCTCAGATGAAATAAAACCAATACATGTTGGAAAACTTCCTAATTGAACCCAGGGAAAACTGCTTGATTTTCCAAATCATGTTAGTGTCTAAGTCTGATAGTTCAACCAGATTCTGCATAGACAACAGGTCAATGCAGTAATAAAAGCATGAGGTAAAGGTTCCGGTGTTGGACTGGGGTGGATAAGGTCAGAAATCACATGACACCAGGTTATAGTTCAACACATATTTTTTGAAAACACAAGCTTTTGAAGTGTAGCCCCTTCGGCAGGTGAATAAAAACGGGCAACTATCCAATCCCCTTTCTGGAGGACTATTGATAGGGTTGACAATGCATAGGTTTATTACAGGAATACAGGCAAGTTCCTTTAGTAGTGAGTGTAACAAGGTCAGCCCAGTGAACCTCATAGGAATTCCCCGATTGGAGCTGTTTAATCTGGACCAATCAGGGAGTCCTGGCTGACAGATAAGCACAGGAGTGTCAGATATCCTGTTCACTCTGAGAGCTGGCTCTGAGGGAGCTGGATCAGCGTCAAGGACTCTCCATGTGTAAAGAAAGGGTGACTTGGTGATGGGATACCAGCTTCTGTGGGCTTTTTCCAATACAAACCGATGCAATTTGAGCTAAAGAAATCCTCTATCAACTTTCCAGCAACTGACAAACTAAATCATAGCCAATGCTTCTAATTGTGAGGTTTAACTTCATGCACTGATAATCAGTGGCACTTGGATCAACTACAAGCTTTGTTTAGAAAATAATTGTCAGCTGATTTGGTGATAAACCTGCCAAAAATGAATTTGCAAAAGTGTGGGTATTTAATAGACATGAACAAGTGTTGCCAAGAACAGCAGAAGTACAAGCATTAGTGGAGTTTCCTGCCTCCAAAATGAAATGAGAAGTTATGAAGTTTTTGGAGATATGTTGTTTTTAAGTAAGTTTGGACCAAACTATCATTAATAAAAGCAAAGTACTGTTGAAGCTGGAGATATGAAAAAAAACAGAACATGCTGGAGGATCTCAGTGGGTCCCTGTGGAGAAAGAAGCAGAGTTAACGTTTTGAGATGTTGCTACACCTGCTGAGTTTCTATAGCACTTTCTGTTTTCATTTCAGAAATGCAGTTGTTTCACTGATAGATTTGCTGAGAAAGAAAGGTAAAAATGTAGTGAGGAGAGCTCTAACCATCCTTTGAGAGGCTAAAAGCAATTTTGGTCAATAAACTAATGTTAGCCACCCTAAATTTCACTAGATGCTTCAAGGTAACAATTAATGCTAATGAGGTGGGTGCAGTCCTGTTATCCAAAAATGGATGGTCCATACAGAAGTCAATGGAATACTCTTCTAAAACGTTAATTCGATACGAAAAGAGAGACTTTACCATAGGAAAAAAAACCTTGGGATTGCTATTGTTTCTTAAACATTTTGAAGTATACATCTATCACAGTGATAGGGAAACACTTGTATATATTGATCATAATCCTTTTGCCTTTGAGAAAAGTTCAAAAACAAGAATGCCAGACTATTTGGAGGGAGTTTACTATTAAAATAGTTCACATTATGAGAAAAATAATTTAATTGTTGATGCTTTGTCTCGAATCCAGAATTCTGTTTTGAATTATCTGAAGACAGAGATGGTACTGGGTATAACTGCATGGTTACAAATAAAGAGTGAATGAGGGTGACAATGTCTTACTTTTTGATATTTTGTTTTGTTCACGTTTTGTAATGAAGCACATTTAAAAAGAATGCTTCATTTCTGCAATAGTGTTGTAAGTATTATGAACGTGCTTCATTATTATATTTTTTAAGGACTTGCGTTTGAAGAATTGGGGTAGTGGTTTATTTGAAGTGCTGAAGAGACATCTGCACTGTTCTTTTTAAAGGTGGTCATTAAAAGGACATTTTTTTTTAACAAGCCCTTCTTGAAAGCCACACGAATAAAGCTAATTGCTTGGACTTGTTTACCAGAAATCACATGCCCATGGCTTTGTTTTTATGCTTTTTGAAGTTGACTTTGAGTAGAGCCTGCTGAGAGAGAGAAGTTATTCAGCTCTTCCTCTGCCTTTCTGCAAAATTCCATTTGGACAGTCCAGTGTCAGACTTGAAAACTAATGCAGCTGTTCTTCTGAAAGAATTAATCCCAAAGTTTCCTGATTTAACTGCATCTGCCAAGGACACAGTAAGTGTCATGTATCAGGATATCAACCGAAAGCCAACTTGAACATTCCATACCTTATCCTTTAAACATTAAGTACTAATAATTATTTCTTTCTCCCTTCAGAATTAATCTCTACATAGAAAGTTTTTTTTTTCTCTTTTAATTAGTCTGGGTGCTGTTGTTATTTAGAAAGGTAAAGATTTTATCTTCCACATTTCAAAGTGTGTTAAGCAGCTTTATATCTTTGCTGAGTAAGTTTTGTTTTATAGTAAATCAATAACTTGGTTGTTTATTAAAGAAATCTAGTTGATGGATTGTTTTATTCTAAACATTATATTGATAATATTTTTAATTGGCCTATTCAGTAATTGGGTAAGGCAGATAAATTTATCTTGTAAATAACGGAGTGGTGGAACTAGACTTTGACAGTGCACTCTCCAACTCCAGTTGTAACATTGCAGATAGAGTAACACAAAGATAAAAAGTTTCTTGAAACGTTCAAATCACATACCCGTCAGCACTTATTGCCTCTGACTAGATAGGCGCCCACCTGTTAAGATAGTTAGAGTTCTGGTTGAAACATATTTTCAATGTTGCAATGACTTCAATATACTGTATGTAATAAACTTCCTTTGATATGGAAGTGTAGTAGATGCCATCTGTATTTGTTGTATGTGATCTTTGCCCGTGAAATGTGACCTACGTTACTGCTGGAGACCTGATTGGATAAAAATGTAATCCAACAATCTTAAGTCAAATGTTTCAGAGATAGGAACTGCAGATGCTGGAGAATCTGAGATAACAAGATGCAGAGCTGAATGAACGCAGCAGGCCAAGTAGCATCAGAGGAGCAGGAAAGCTGACATTTCGGGCCTTGAAGACCCTTCAAGAAGGGTCTAGACCCGAAATGTCAGCTTTCCTGCTCCTCTGATGCTGCTTGGCCTGCTGTGTTCATCCAGCTCTGCACCTTGTTATCTTAAGTCAAATGTTCATTTAAATACACACTTCCAACATACTGTTAGAGATTGTTTCTGAAATTTGGTGTCCATCTTATTGGAATAGTGTCCTGCTTATTATATTTCAGGTGCATTTCTGATCCCATACTTTCTGACATTGATATTTGCTGGCATCCCTTTGTTCCTCTTGGAAACAGCTCTCGGTCAGTACACATCCATTGGAGGCCTTGGTGTGTGGAAACTAGCTCCTATGTTTAAAGGTTTGTATACTTTGAACTTGCATGGAAAAAAAAATTAAAGTTTTGCCATGGATTATTTTCTTTTCCAAAATGTTTTGAATAGTTAGTTTTGTTTTTGATGTTCTGGTACAGAATTTGTAATGGAAGCAATATAGTGTAATAGGGCTAGAAATAACATTAAAGCTGTGTTTACAAAGTTAGGCTGTGGGCTGAGTGAAATATTTCCTCTTCACTTCATGATCTACAATCTGATTTATTTTGAATGGATGTGAGAAAATTTCTCTCTGCCAGCTACAAATATATTATAGAATGTTGCCTAAGCCCTCAAATATGGCAAAGTACCTTACCACACAAATGTATTTCAAAGAACTGCAGGTCAATTATATTTTCAATATGCCACAAGAAAGGATTTACAAAGTTTATCTTATTGTGTAAAATGACTTTGGGACAGGTCCAGCCAAGAATGTAGTGAATCTGAGTCAACATTAGATATCAACCAATAGCATAGACAACTGATGATGGAAAATGGAATTGTATCAATGATGCAGTAGAGAAAATCTTCTGAGATTAATGTTGCTGTACCTGGATGGATCATTGCAAGGGATATTTACTATGCATCTAACCTGTGCAGAATATGGCATCTTAACAAATGTCTTTTGAAAATCTAAATACACAACATCTATTGATTGTTTGTTCATGCATTTTGAGGTTTTCTATGTACTAGTCAGAATAAGATAAACCACAGAGTGTCAGGTTCTTATTGCGATAGATCTCTTGACTAACCATTTAAGACTAACTGTTCACATAGGTACAATATCACTGACTTGTGTACATAGTCTGCATTCTGTGCATACTTTTATGCATTACATGCATGATCATGACATCTGAAGATTCCATTACACAGACAAACTGTCTTTGAAGACAAAGCAGTCCCTTATCACGCAACTGTCTTAACAGTTCAGGGTTGTTTACTTGACTTTGTCTGATAGCATTATGACTTTTTAAATGTCCAGCTACTGCGACCTTTGATAATGTTTGCCGCATTTTCAAATTTCAGGTGTTAGGCTGTCAGCCTAGGGCTAGGACTTCAGTTTCCTGTTTTTTTGTCTCACTTCTTTCTTGAATGATGTTGTTACATTTGCTATTTTCCAATTAGCTGGGACCTTTCCCATGCATCCACTAACTCTGCAGCCACTTCAGCGAGACCCTACGATGCAGGCCATTATATTCAGGGGACTTGCCAGCCTTAAATCCCATTAGTTTTTTCAGTACATTTTCTCTAGTGATTGTATAAGACCATAAGAAATAGGAACGGGGTGGGCCATTCAGTCTTTCCAACCTTCTCCACCATTTAGCAGGATTACGCAGTATCTCCTTAAATTTCCGCCACTACATCATCACCTTATTACCTTTTATTTTATTTTCCCAGTCCACTTTAGCGTACTCTGTTTTTATACTCATGTAATTGCCTTTATTTATTCTGCTGTTCATTTTATCACAGACCACCATCTGACTTCTTTTTATCACCCTCCCCCTTTGAATTGTTTAAAATCTATTACATTTCTATGTGTTCCCACTTTGATCTTCTTCCCAGTTTGATGAAAAATCCTTAATCTAAAATATTAATTCTGTTCCTCTCTCCACTGTTCTACCAGACCTGCTGAGTATTTCCAGCATTTTCTGATTTTAACTATCACGTTTCCAGCACTTGGTTCAACATCTGAATTTAATGTTGATATTCATTTTATGAATCTTGAAGAGGCATTGCTCATACTGAGTTTATAAAGATTGCAATGGAATGCCTTTCATGCAGAATATATTGCTGCCAACCAATCAGTACCCTCTATCATTCATTATAAACTGTTGTTCACTTTGAAACTTAGCATTCTTGTGATCGTTCTGATGAGTTCAAGATGTAAAACATTGGCAACATGTCTCTTTTCTCAGTAATGTTCAAGTTCTGTGCTACTGAACTGTAAAATGGGACTGTGTACATTCACCTCATTAGTTTCTAAAAGGTCCATCAGCATTCAGTGTTGTTTGGAGGAGACAAAAGTGAAATGGAAAATCCTTGTAAATTGCAAGGCCCAGATCAATGATTTGCTTTAGGTCTACTTCTTTGAATATTCTTTGCTAGCAACAATGAAATCAGAGTATGTGATTCTGGCATGTTTAACAAGGCAGTGAAGAGGTACATCTTTGGATTATGAATATATTTTCTATGATAAGCTGCATTCTGTTTCTTAACAGGAGTTGGACTGGCTGCTGTCATCTTGTCGTTTTGGCTCAACACTTACTACATCGTGATCATAGCTTGGGCTATCTATTATCTCTTCAGCTCTTTCAAGTCGGTGAGTGTCAGTAGATAAGCATCATTGCTAGGTTCTGCCAGGGCTGTCCTGATCTCCTCTGTAACTTCCACGTGACGGAAGATCTTTGGAAATCTTGGAGAAATATCAACGGTAGAATTGCTGACTGTACCTTTAGTTTGAGGCTGTCCACCTTGTTGCATGGATAGGCACATTTCAATTTTTCCCTCAGTCTGGCCACAAGAACTCACACGAAAGTGGATTGCCTCTCAGCCTGGATTTTTCTGGTTTTAAGAATGCAGGGGAAGGAAAGAATGTATGTTTGTGAGTGAGTGAATCTCACTCACATATGCATCTCCACACACATGTTTGCCTATGTGTCCATTTCACCACACATTCCCTCATGCACATACCCATTCAAACACCCTCACACCCACCAACAAACCCAACCAAGCACAGCCAGACGCTCATACACAATTATTCAGTTTGTCCACACATCCACCCACTCACCCATTCATCTACGCTCATCTATACGTCCATCTATCCACACCCACCCTCACCACACACCCTTCTGCCACCCATTTCCTTACACCTGCCTATTCACGACACCCACTTACACATCCACACAGACGGATCCATTGACCCATGCCCAACTACATATGTACACCCACCCATGCACCCATTCACTCTTAACCATTTGCACTCCTTCCTATTCATCCACAGCCACCCAGACAGCTATTCAGGCATATATCCATCCCCTGATATACTCAGCCATTTATACACTCACCCATTCACCCCCATCCACTGTCCCATTCACCCACATTCCGCCAAACATTTACCCATTCGTTCACACCCACTCAAACAAGCATGCATTCACTCACACCCAGACATTCACAGCCATCCATTCACTTATGGCCAGCCATACACGTAGCGATTAACTGACACCCACATATCCACACCATTCACTCATTTACACTCAAGCCTGGCAGTTTAGGTGATTGATAATACTGAGAAGCTGCACAGGATTGCTGTGAAGTAGCAACATGCACTATACTCCTGTCTGGTCTAACACACCAGCTCTCTCAAACTGTTCTGTAGCTGTAACCACTGCTCATTGTGATCTCCTGGTTTGTCTTTTAACCCTAGCAGCGGAAGCCCATTCTCATTGCCCCCTCAAGCTTTTTGGTGTCCAGACTCTAATTCCTACCCCCGCCTCCTAGACGGTGTCCTGATTCTTGTTTCCCCTCCCTTTCCAGGCAATGTCATGACTTACGTTTCCTAAACATATATTTGATTCGTAAAATTGGCTCAGTGGTTAGCACTGCTTCCTCACAGCACCTGGGACCCAGTCTGATTCCACCCTCGGTTGACTGCCTGTGTGGAGTTTGCACATTCTCCCCATGTCTGTGTGGGTTTCCTCCGGGTGCTCTGGTTTCCTCCCACAGTTCAAAGATGTGCAGGCTAGGTGGATTGGCCATGCTAAATTGCCCCACAGTGTTCAGGGATGTGTAGAATAAGTGGGTTATAGGGGATGGGTCTGGGTGGGATGCTCAGAGGGTCAGTGTGGACTTGTTGGGCCGAAGTGCCTGTTTCCACACTGTAGGTATTCTGTGATCTGTGAAAATTTGTAATAAAATTCAACTTGTCTCCATATGGCATGCCCCACACTTAGCAGTTTCAAAACAGTTGGAATAATCTTGATACTTACAATATACTTTCCCGCTTAGGCATAGAGCCATAGAGCAAAACATTTCAAGTCTTGGTATGGCATCCTGTTGGAAAGTCTGTTGTAGATGGCTGTTTATTGTATCGAGCTGGAGCATTGTTAAGAGTGCATTTTTTTTAGAACTTTACTGTGTTTCCGAGGCATGCTCTTTAATTTTTTGGAAAATAACTAGAATTTATTTGATTTGAAAATATTTGATGGAATATGTGGAGGAAGCTTATTTTTGAATCTGGCTTGTCCTATTCCTGCAGTAATAATGAGGCAGGAGAGAGCTGCGCCGGAATTTCACCCCATTTATTTGTACACTATAACTATTCAGCAAGGCTCAAGCCAAGGGAATACCTATGCCTGGAGTTTCATTGGGATGTTTGTATAGTCTAGAGGGGAGAAATCCTTCCTGAGTTGTCAGGGGAGATAGAAGTGATGGAACTACAGACTACAGTTGAGAATCCAGGATGCAATCTTATCGATAAAATTTAATTTGTTACGAGTGGTAGCAGAATGATTGACTAAAAAGCTTTTAGAAAAGCTGAATTTCAAAATACTAAGTTCAGTTAACAGTGTAGGTAATGGGCACTTGTGTGGAAATGGACAAAGGTGGTCTGGGTAAAAAGAATAAATGTTGGAGAGAAAGTCCAAAGTGACATCTGTCAGTATGGCAACTTTTGTCCATCTCCAGACATAGCCTAAGATGTTAGCCTAAGGTGTAGTCAAAGAGGTTGATAGACAAAGGCTGCTGCAGGCATTAACTCTTGTCCCATTCAAAGAGGCAGTTTGGTTTTACCAAAGGTAATTTGGAGGAAATTTTGTCTCACGGCATCTAATGTCCACTACAGAGTGAGAGGATGGTGCTACAGCTGCCTGGTTGACAGATAAGATGGAGTGATAAATGGTATTTTCAGTTTACATGAGGAAGTTGATTTGTTGCATCTAAATATTTATGAGGTTGTCGTAATTGATGATGCTACCGAGGATGGAGCTCCAAAGTTACTCCGAAAACAACCAAAAGACAAGTCAAATGTTTTGTTTTGCTTCTTTAATATACATTGATTGATGGATATGTCTTTTTTTTCTGTAGGAGCTTCCTTGGCAAAGCTGTGACAATGAATGGAACACAAAAATGTGTTTTTCTAACTACTCTATGCTTGATACCAGTAACATGACCAGTGCAGTGACAGAATTCTGGGAGTAAGAGATGCTCATTCTGTTTGTTGAAGTAGAGATAATTTTATCTTCCAGTAATTGTTATTGATTAATAATAACCGATTTTATCTATTCATAATAGTTGTTGATCAATAGTAAAAATGTGAAATGTATGACTTGTCAGACACATACAATTGAATGTTGTGTTCCCCCTCTGGTGAGTTTGAAGGAGGAGGAGGCAGAAAGAATCCACAAGGTGTCTTTCCTATTGTCTGGCCCAACTTGTCTGAAATTTCATGAAGAGTGGGGGTGCAGTGGGCAGTCTGCCCATTTTTAGGCCTGTTGAGACCCTCAAATAGCTGCTTAAGGACCTCATCCTGAGGTATCAGTTACTCTTCACATAAGATTATCCATAATTGCACAAAGCAGTCACAAAGAGTAGGAAGAATTTGATAGAAACCTACCAAGTAATCCATAGGCTGCAGTAGGCATTGCCTGATGGAGTACTCCTCTCCTTGAATCCCATAACAATTATTCTAAAATTGTTGGATAATCCTCTTGATTGAAATGGAATAGCTGGGGTACGTTAATGCTGACTTTATACACACAGTTGTGGATCACAGATGCTCACACAGAATGGGAAAATATGAATAGATATAAACATTTTCTGTGAGGAAAAGAACCTGGTGCAAATGGCCTATTTTAATGCAACATGTTGGCTGCAATAGTTTGCCATTCCGTACCATAACCAGAAATGTGCCCCATTTAAGTTCTCTCTCTTCTTCCTCATTGCCACCCAACTATAAGTCACATTCTAAGTGCTAAACTATTACAAATACAAACCCGCCAAAATCCTTGTGAGGTTTGAATTGTTGCAAACATGCCTCTGATTTTAAAAATGAAAAGAACTGCGGATGCTGTAAATGAGAAAAAAAAACAGAAATTGCTGGAAAAGCTCAGCAAGTCTGGCAGCTTCTGTGGAGGGAAATCAGAGTTAACGTTCCAGGTCAAGTGACCCTTCCTCAGACCCTTTCTCTGATTTTATCTCTGCATCTCTAACAGTCATCACGAAATCAAAATTTTGTATCGTCTGTAATTAATTCACCCTGCCCGCTGTATTTCGCACTCTAGAGGGCTCCATAGAATCCCACCCAACTGGTAATTGTTTCAGAAATATATCACCTTCATTGTCCATCCAGCTAGAAACGTGACAATTGAAAGGTCTTAAACAATCACGAATAATTTAATGTAGTTGGATTGAAAATTGTAATGAGCCATTTATAGATGGAAACTTGAGAATAGATGGAGAAAAAGGTTATGCGCTGCTATGATGTAGTGAATCGTATTAAATATTTTAATATACTTTCAGACGGAACGTGCACCAAATTACCAGTGGTTTGGATGAGCCAGGGAGCATACGGTGGCCTCTGGCTGGAACACTAGCGCTCTCTTGGTTGTTGGTCTATTTCTCAATCTGGAAAGGAGTGGAATGGACAGGAAAGGTATGACCAAAAAGAATTCATGCCTTATTTTCCCTTCAGAGAAAATGAATTAGATGTTGTCAATGAATGAAGCTAAGTTCAGTGGATGGTTTGTTGTCCTTTTGAAGAAAACAACATCAGGGTGGATTTTTCAGGTTTTGGCAATCTCATGTAGATTGCCATTCTAGCCCTTCTTTATTATGAAATAAAGGAACTTCACATTTCTAAGAGGAGATTCCACTCAGGTCTCCCTTAGTAATGGCTTTGATTTGATTTGGTTTATTATTGTTACTTGTACCAAGAAACAGTGAAAATAATGTATTGCGTGCTAAACAGTCAAATCATACCTTATGTAAATACATCAATGTAATAAAGCAGAATGCAGAATATAGTGTTACAGCTAAAGAGAATGTGCAGAGAAAGATCAACTCTAATATGTGAGAGGTCTTTTCATAAGTCTGACAACTGTGGAGAAGAAGCTGTTCTTAAATCTGTTGGAATATGTTTTCAAACTTTTGTATCTTCTGCCCAATGGAAAAGGGTGAAAAGAGAGTATAACTGGGGCGGGAGCAGTCTTTAATTATGTTGGCTGCTTTCCTGAGGCAGCGGGAAGTGTAGACGGAGTCAATAGATAGAAGGCTGATTTTCATGATGGACAGGGCTGCGTTCACAACTCTATGTAATTTCTTGCAGTTTGGGTAGAACAGTTGCCATACCAAGCTGTGATGCATCTGGATAGGGTACTTTCCATAGTGCATCTATAAAAATTGTTGAGAGTCATTGTGGACATGCTGAATTTTCTTAGTCTTCTGAGGAAGTAGAGGTGTTGGTGTGTTTTCTTGACTGTAGTATCGACATGGAAGGACCAGGATAGATCGTTGGTGATATTTACTTCCAGGAACTTGAAGCTCTCGACCTTCTCCACCTCAGCACCATTGATACAGACAGGGGTGTGTCCTCTACTCTGGTTCCTATCTCAATGACCAGCTTCTTCATTTTGCTGACATTGGTGGAGTGTTTGTTGTCTTTATACCATGCCACTAAGCTGTCTACCTCCTTCCTGCACTCTGTCTCATCATTGTTTGAGATCCGACCCACTATGGTAGTGTATCAGCAAATTTTTAAATGGAATTAGAGCAGAATTCGGCCATACACAGTTGCGAGTATATAAGGAGTATAGTAAGGGGCTGAGTATGCAGCCTTGTGGGGCACCACTGTTGAGGATTATTGTGGAGGAGGTGGTGTTGCCTGTCCTTATTGATTGAGCCTGCAGGTCAGGAACTCAAGGATGCAGTTGCCGAGTGGGGAGCAGGTTCCTAGATCTCAGAGTTTGGAGATGGTTTTCTTAGAATGATCATGTTGAAGGCAAAGATAAAATCAATAAATAGGAGTCTGAAGTAGGTGTCTTTTTCATCCAGGTATTCCAGGGATAAGTGTGGGACCAAGGAGATAGCGTCTGTCGTGGACCTATTGTGACAGTAGGCAAACTGAAGTGGATCAAGGCAGTTTGGGAGGCTGGAGTCGATGTGTGCCATTACCGATCCTGGAAAGTTTGTAACTGTTGATCAAAATACAGGGGATTAAATTGGGTAGTAGTTCCTCCAAAGAAAGGTGCAGGGATCACAATATGTGATTAACGCATGTCTATTATTTGAAATGCAGGCATTTTGTCTGTTCACATTGTCTGCTCATTTGCGCCAGCTCATCCCAACTTTACCCTTGCAGCATTACCTTTTGATACCCAAGAATTAGAAGCTGGTCTGGCTGTAGAGGTTCCACCAAGAAGACAGTGAAGATTGAAGACACTCTAAATTGATTTCACACTCTACGCCGACAGTTCAGATTCTAACTCTGTAAGCACGGTGCCTCACAGTGCCAGGGACCAAGGTTCAATTCCAGCTTCAGGCACCTGTCTGTGTAGAGTTTGCACATTGTCCTCATGTCTGTGTGAATTTCCTTTTGGTGCTCTGGTTTCTTTCCATAGTCCAAGGAAGATGCGCAGGTTTGATGGATTGGCCGTGCTAAATTGCCCATAATATCCAGGGAAATGTAGATTTATAGGGTAGGGCTGGTGAGTCTGGGTGGGATGCTCTTCAGGGGGTCAATGTGGTCTTGCTGGGCCAAATGGCCAGCTTCTATACTTTAGGGATTCTATGATACTAGAGGTTTGATGACAGCAAAGAGTTGAGACCTGCTTATCAGTTACAGTCACAGAGTCATACAGCATGAAAACAGATCCTTCAGCCCAACTTGTTCATGCTGATCACTTTTCCCAAACTAAACTAGTCCCATTTGCCTGCAGTTGGCAAGCCCCTAAACCTTTAATCCTTCATCTCTCTAACCCTTCCCTATTCATGTATTTGCCCAAATGTCTTTTAAGTGTTGCACCTGTACTTGCATCTACCACTTTCTGTGGCAATTCATTCCACATATGAACCACCTTCTGTGTGAAAAAGTTGTCCCTCGGGTCCCTTTTAAATCTTTCCCGTCTTACCTTAAAACTATGGCCTCTAGTTTAGAACTCCCCCACCCTGGGGAAAGATCTTTGCTATTCACCTTACCTTTCCCCTCACTTTCTGTTAACTTGTCTTGCTCTGTCGGACTTCTGCTGATTCTTGCAGTCACACTTAATGATAAGAAGAATCCGACAGAATCATTCATGTTTTGGCAGCAACTGGTTTGTGCAGAAGCTTTACAGTAAACAAAAACTCTTATGGGGGAGATGGTGGCATAATGCTAATATCCCTGGACTGATCACTCAAGGATACAGGCTAGAACGCTGGGAAAATGCGTTCAAAATCCCATCATGGCAGCTGGTGGAATTTTAATTCAATGAATAAAATAGAATCATAGAATTCCTACAATTTGGAAGCAGGCCATTTGGCCCATTGAGTACACACCGTCCCTCCGAAGAGCATCCCACCCAGATTCATCCCTCTAGCCCTACATTTCCCATGGCTAACTGCCAGAGAATCATTGAGAAGCAGGCAGATATTTCAGGAATTCCTTGAGACCCCATTTGCTAATTGGTTTTCTGTTTTGTAGACTAGTGAAGGCATTGGTTCCTCAATGTGTACAGTCATAGCAAAGTTCCTGGAACCATGGGGCTGGGGGTAATCTGTCTAGGAAGGGAGGACGAAAAGGTAAAGACCACTTCCATTTCAAACAGGGTGCTCGCATGGAAAGACATAACTAGAGGTGAGTTTAACCTGAGGGTCACCAAACCTCAAATAAGGGGCAAGTCTGAGAAGAGAGGGCCTTTGTGGTTACCTCTACCAATGCAGGCATTGAACCTACACTGTTGATATCACTCAGCATCACAAACCAGCCATCCAGCTAACTCAGCTCACCAATTCCCATTATCTATTTAAATAGCAGAGCAGGCTCAATAGGCTGAATGCTCCATTCTTGTTCCTACTATAGTGATCATAACAAGGTCAGCTAGGTGGACCTCATAGAATGAGTTCCCTGACTGGGGCTGTTAATCTGGTCCAAACAGGGAGCCCTGGCTGACAGGGCTATAAACAGGAGTGTCAGACAACCTGTTCATTCTGAGAGCTGGCTCTGAGGAAGCCAGACAAGTGTCAAGTACTATGCATGTGTAAATAAAGGGTGACTTGGTGATGGGACACTGGCCTCTGTGGAGTTATTTCACCTACGTTATGATCCAACAGTGGAACTATGAACCAAAATGACCAAATTTATTAAATGTCATCCAATGATAACTTTATTAACAGAATTCCATTTTCTGTAACTTTAATTGTGATATAAATGCAAATGTACATAAATTAAACATGAATTAACAGATTAAGATCGGTAGAAATTATAAATTAGCCATGGAATAGTTGATACCATAAAGACTATCTCTTGAGGCATAAGCATTCTTGTCACTCTTGTACACATGTGGCAGCATGTGTAATCCCAGCCTTTCTAATTCTGTCTCTGAAACACAGGATTGTCTCACTTAATGAAATTTGTTCCTAGAGTCACCAAAAATGATAGCTCCATTCCATCTGAGTTCCCTGGAGAGAGTTGCCGCTTTAATAGCACAATTGTGGAGAAACTCCTTAGCTAGGTTTATGAAGTTGTTGATGATATAGATTCCCCAGATTCAATTTGTCTGACTCCATTAAGAGAACTTTTTATTGGGCTTCTCAGTTACTGCAAAACTGTGGCATAGCTATAAAATCAGTTAATTCACACCTTCTACTCTAACCCTGTTTTCAGCTTTTTGTCCTTTTTAGCTGTGTTACATACGTAGCTCCTTCTAGATGTCTTGTTCTCCCCCTTTGCTACAGCTTCTATTATTTATAGTGAGAGCTCTTTTGCCCACCAGCACCATTGCTTTTGTATGTTAACTTCTTTCCTGTTGGTACTACTTCTAGGTCAAGGATCACCAGGTGACACAGACCAGTGTTTTTTCTTACTTAAGGAAATTATAACTGATTTCCATGCAACGTTTAAAAGTCATTTCTGAATATTATTAAAACAAATAACAGATACCAAAAACATTTTAAATCAGTTATTAATTTTCCTTACTGTACTATTTACAGATAATAGGTTTGTGTATAATTTAAGAATGTTTCAATATAGTGGTTTGATTAACACTTTGATTTAATATCCTGATATTTACTGAGCCTTTGAAACACTCTTCTAATATTCATTAAGTGCAGAACAATTGAGCCATGAAATCATACTTGAAAGTCTTGAAATTTGCTTCTTTTACCATTGCACCATTATTCATAACATAACCAATGAAGAAATATTTAATATTGCCCAAATACACATATCAGTGTTGAAAAATCACTTCAAGCAAGATCAAGTTATTACAACATAAAAAGTCAGTCAATCAAAGAAAGCAAGTAGTCTGCTTCGCAACTAGGGAAACGGATATTTGCTAGACTCAGTTTGTTAGTCAGCATTGGGGCACAAACTGCACATTCATAATAAGACCATCTGGCAAAACAACTACCTGGTCATCTGTTTAGCTGAGTTCTATTGATGCAGTGATTTTTATTATTAATGATTTTTCTAAGTTTATTTGGACAAGATTGATAGTTCCTTCAAAGGAAATGTCGGTTACATTTTTAACACTTTTAGGAGAATGTAAAGAAGCATTATTCAAGAGGCATTTTGAATGCCTGATATTTTAATGAGAATTTCAAACACTTGCAAAATATTAGATTGCTCGTCAGTTCTGTACCGAGTGGATACTGGGTGAGTGGATATATTGGATGCAAAGTGGGTATGGATGGTGGAGGTGTCATGGGAAATATGAAGGAAGAGGCATGAGAGTTAAGGGTTCAGGGCGAGCATGAGAGATCTGGAAGAGCATGACAGAGGCCCTTGTTGTTGAAGGGGTGAGATATGAGGGATAGAGGACACAACAGCCATGCATTGAACTGAACAGATATCCCATAAACTGAGGCAGGCCTTCTAACCTACCGACCTCATCATTTTCATACTGTGGTGGCCTCCTGAGGGGCGTCTTGAACTTGGCAGTGCTGAGTGTAGCCTCCACCCAACACTTAGGGACGAAAATTCCAAGAGACCTTTTTTGCATTTCCTCAAAAGACATGCCAGCCCAAACTGCCCAGACAGATGGCTCACCTCCAAGTTGCCCAGTCTTTTCTCCTGAGACCATTTCCCACTGGATTGAGGTCTGACCTTTAGAAGTCAGGACCGTGATGTCAGGAAATGGCTCAATTAACAGTTTCCAAATTGAAGATAGAAAAAAACACTGGTCTATAGCTTCTGTTGCAACATATATTCTGCCATATGTAACATTCATGAGTCCTATTATGTTCTTTCTCCTGCTTTCTTCCGATTCAGGTCGTCTATTTTTCTGCTACTTATCCCTATTTCATGTTGATCATTTTATTCTTCCGTGGAGTGACACTCCCAGGAGCAAAAGAAGGAATTTTGTTTTACATTACACCCAATTTCAACAAGCTTTCAAACTCTCAAGTATGTACAATGTGGACTTTCCATGTAACTATAGATATCTTTAATATGATAGATAGCAAAATTTAATAGTAGAGTAAACATATGTTGGATTTTCTGCTCAATTGCCATTGGGTTCAAATAAGAATGTTTAGATTCTTTATCCTTCCGACACCTTTTTTCAGTCCCAGACCAGACCTCTAAATTTGCTTGAAGAACAGAAATTGCTGGAAAAGCTCAGCAGACCTGGCAGCATCTGTAGAGAGAAATCAGAGTTAACATTTTGGATTGAGTGACCCTTCCTCAGAAACTAAACTTGCTTACTAGCCCAGATAAGACCCTCAAATTCTGTAAAAGTCCAGCCATGAATGAAAATCTCTCTTTTTAAAAGTAGACTAAATTTGAAATTCACGTTTCTTTCTAAGCAAGTAGAGCCATTGGATTCCATGATTTTTAAACACACAGAATAAACTTTTACAATATAAAAGTCAGTAAAGCAAACAATCAACAAATTCTTATATACTACAATTCAGAATTGAAGATGAGATAAATATGAATTAACAGGCAAACTGTGCTCGGACAAACCACAGACTACACTTCAAAAAACAGTCACAACCAAGACAGATCCTATGAATTTTTTAGAAACCCTATCTAGTGAACACTGTGGGCTACAGCATTATTTCAAATACTATCTCCCTCACAAAGAATTTCAGCCATTCTCTTGCAACATTCAAGCCTTTGATTTCCTCAAAAGACATTCCAGCCCAGACTGGCCAGACAGATGGCTCACCTCCAAGTGGCCCAATCTTTTCTCCTGAGACTATGTCCCACTGGGTTCACTAGGCTGTTTTTCAGCATCCAATCACTGGCAGAGCTCCGTCTTTCTTACTGCTTTGAGCGGAACCACTGCCCACAGGCTTTCCTTTGCCCCAACTGCCCCTATTGAGTTCTTACTGATGATGTCTGATGACTTTTGGCACTCACTACCAGCATCAAATACTTTCAAGTATGTTATGGGCTAGTTTTGAGGTGAACTACCTCCCTGTCTATTACCCATTAAGAGTTTCATGAACAGTTTAGGTGGAAAGTAAAGCTACCTCTACTTTGCTGTGATGATGGATTAAAATTTTCCCTGTATACCTAATGTAGTGAAACTGTATAAATGTTTTCTTGATAAATGTGCTCGCAATTATTTTGCTACATCTGACAAAGAAAGTAAATATTTTCTTGAAATGTTGAGATTGTATCTTCAAAATAGGCTGCTTTTGTTTTGAACTGATTGGAATGTGCATTGTGCAGAGCTGAAGTGGTTCAGGAAAGCCAAGTATGGAATAAATTTTGTGAATCTTGAACGAACAGAAGTGCTCCCTTAGGTACTCCTTACTGTAACCCAGGTCCCTCCCCTCCCCATTCCCCTCAGCACCCATTCTGATTGCAACTCCGACTGCACACTCCCTAACTTGCCTTACTGGTGGTTGGAAGACTTCAATAATAGTAGGTCTGAGTTGCATTTAGTGCTTTGTAATCCAATGGCTCTGCCAGCCAGATTCATAAAGACGTAGCTCTGATGTCAATCATCATTTTAGCCATGTTAAAACATTACCTTAAATTATCTTCTTTGTAGACCTGGTTATGAATCTATTTTGCTTTATGGAGTTGTTTGAATTTAATCTCGTCTATACGTTTAATGGTTAACTTTAATGGGTGTCTGCTCCTTTTGGGCAGGTTTGGCTTGATGCAGCTACACAGATCTTTTTCTCTTATGGACTGGGTCTGGGATCACTTATTGCTTTGGGCAGTTACAATATGTTTCACAACAATGTTTACAGGTAAAATATATACATTATTTTGATTATGTGGTGAAGTAAAGAACAGCGACCTTTCCAGTAGGAATACTTTCCAATTCACAATCTTTGGTGTGACTGTGCCTCATGACATTATAATCTGATGGGGTTGGAATATCCTGCTACATTGTTATGGAGTCTAAAGACAGCAAAAAGGCAAGGCTGACAGAAATAAGGCTTTCAATTTCTGCTGGGACAAAGTAAAAGACTGATTAATCAATTGTCGTGATATTTGTTGCAGTTTATTCCAAACTGTTTTTGGATTGCACTGAAAACAATCAAATCTTCCATTTGCTACTGTTACAAACTTTACAGTGCAATATTTATCCTGAGCTTGAGGAGACAAGTAATGCTTTCCCTGCTGATTAGAGACTGACGACCATCATGGTAGAAATAATGACTCGGAGATCCCAATGCAGAGCTACGAATACATACATAATATATGCCAGAGGCAAGGCTACAGCATTGTCATTCCAATTTTCTGACAAGTACTCCCTGTGACTAGGAGTATGATTGTGAAATTACTTTTACATAATTGTATTATAAATTTAAATTTGATATATCTCTCCTCAAATTTCTTCTTTTAAAATACCCTATCATTTTGTAAAATAAATTTCCCTTCCCTATATTAGAGAGAAAGTTGATGGAATCTGGTTTGTTTCTTAAAGCAGAACTTAACGGTAGAATGAATGCAAAGAAAAAATTCTATATACTCACCTTGGAATTTTCTCCAGTTTATGGTTATGTTCAAGGAACGATGTGTACATTAAAGTACAGTTCTCACTGTCAGTTAACGTACAAATGTAAATACCAGGATTTGTATGTGTGACATATAACTAAAACAATTTTTTTAATCAGCCTTCTCCAGTGCTATCGCAAGACTGGCATATATCTAGTTCAGCGTAAAACTCAGACTGTGTTCGTGCATAAAAATATCAGAGGCAAAAATGTTTATTTTCCTTATCACAATTTTTGTAAAGCTCTACTAATAACATATTATACAGTTACTTCACCCTTTCAAAAGTCATCTTCCAAATAATTTAATGTACCTTTCAAAAGCTTGGCTCAAGAACAAATGAGTTCACTATCAGGGAGAAGACATATAAATGCAAAGTGTTGCGGATGCTGGAGACCTAAAACAGAACAGGAAATGCTGGAGAAACTCAGCAGGTCTGGCAGCATCTATACAAAGAGAACACAGTAACATTTCCAGATGGATGTGACTTTATTGGAACTTGGAACAGATTTACTGCTTGTTTATTGGAGCGCAGAACAGTATGTGAACCAGAGAGTTCAAAAGCAAATTAGGGGAAAGCAATGAAAGATAACAGCAAGTTATTAAGATGAAGATATGCCGTGGTCATTTTCCAAATCTACAAATATTTGACGCTTAGTTTCCTAGAAGCCACATCTTAAGCAAGATGAATAGTACTTAATCAAGAGATAAGATTCATTTTACGTGTCTGCTTTAACTTCTAGGGATTGCCTCATCGTGTGCAGTATAAACTCCTGCACGAGTATATTTGCTGGATTAGTGATTTTCTCAGTTATAGGATTCATGTCTCACATCACAAAGAAACCAATAAATGAGCTGGCTTCATCAGGTAAGATAAGTCTTTTAATCTATGATACCTGATGCTATGTTATGTCTCCTTTTTATGTTTAAAGCAAGTAGATTTTTAGACATTTTATAAACAGCATCTTTTGATATTGGGTGTGCAACTGGAATGCTCTATCCTCCAACTATCCAATAGGTGAAAAAAAAGCATTTAATAGATTATGAAGAATTTCAAGCTACCATTGCTGCTCATGCTTTTGTTCAAAATGTATTTAATTTTCAATCATGATTGTTGGTACCATGATATATGTTAAATGAACAGACATGATCATATCAAAACAAAATGCTGCAGATGCTGGAAATCCGAAATACAAACAGAAAGTGCAGGTGAAACTCAACAGATCTGGCATCATCTGCGGACAGAGAAATGAAGCTAATATTTCAACGAAGCTAATGTATTGGCTTCTTCAGAAGAAGAGACATGCCGAACTTGAAGCATTTGATGCTGCCAGACCTGCTGAGTTTCTAAAGCTCATTCTGTTTTTAATTGAGATAGAAACATATAAGCAACCTGGTATCACTCAACATTACAGTACCGGCATGTCCTATCAGAGAATGGCAGAAAGTGGAGTGAGACGTTTGGTTGCTAACAATTGTCACTACGTTCTTCTTAAGATAATATTTTATCATCACCATTAGGCATCCTCCACTGTGTGATACTACCACTGGCCTAAGTGGGACAGACTAAACTCGGACATTGTGTCCAGAAATTGATATCCCAGAAATTAATATCAAAGAATGGGCATCTAACAATTATTCCAAAACCACCACAATGTATAGCCTGACTCATCCCTCACTCCTTGATTGCCTCAGAGACTCATCAAGTCACTTTTCTGTCATTAGACCTGAATGACACTGCTTCAAAAATCTAAATTCAGGACAAGGGCCACTTAAGCACTTTACAGGTCTAGGTAACCTGATCCAGACAAGCAGTCTCTGATCTGGGACTCAGGCATTCATGGTTTCTGCTCTAACTTGTGTCAATGAACAACGTTCCTGGAATTTTGAACCTTTATCATATGTTTTCATGGAATATATTAAATTTAATAATCATTCTTCATGTATTGATACTTAAGAAAATCAGTTGATATGACTTTGTGATTCCACTCCATTTATTGTATAGGTCCTGGGCTGGCATTTCTTGCCTACCCACAGGCTGTGACACAACTACGTCCACCAGCACTGTGGTCCATTCTCTTTTTCTCCATGTTACTGATGCTTGGCCTTGATTCACAGGTTAGTATCGAAACATGAGGCAATTAAAATGATGATTCACGATGTTATACCTGTAATAATGCCTCAAACATCAGAGGAGTAAACCTTAAAAAGTTGTATTAAATTAATTAATAAATAAAACAATTCCTCCCTTCCTTTCCTGAATTTGCCAGTTCTTCCTGATCTAGTTGGTTGGTGAATTGAACTCATTGATGTGTGTAAGTTTAGACAGTAAGCATTTAATTCTGGGGTGCACGACAGTTGAACGAGGTCCTTATCTAACATCCACACAAAGCCATTTTCCAGTGAATCACTAGATAATGATCAAGAGTTCAAACATCAGCCATTTTTGTTCCATTTTGATCGAGAACATTTTTATAATTTAAACAGTGACAAGAACTCAAGGATGTACATAGGTATTACATGGGCCAAGATGTCTATGGTGAATAGCACATTTGTATTTTATGACCAAAAATAGAGTCTTTGGGAGCACGGAATCTTGGGCAGCAATTCCCTGTGGTCCACAGCAGTTGGATGCAGCAGCATTGTACTTATGTTACCAGTTGCCTCTGAGCAGCACTTCAAGCCTCAGAGAATGGATTTTAGAGAATACTGTATTCCTCACTTTCCTGACCCAAAGGTCAGTCATCAGCTCACCCACCCGCAACCCAACTGCTCTGCAGCAATATTATGCTTAGAACAGCTTAAATTGTCTCAGTGGGACTTTGATGTTTCCGTATCCAGGAAGACGTCTTGCTCTAGTGAACTGCTGGTCAATCTGATTGGCTGCAACCCTAGTCTCAGCAGCCCCAGGCTGGAGGAGTGGCCACTGCTGGAACTACAGGCCATTTTTAAGAAGAAGTGGTGATTGAGGTGGGACTTAATGGTAAGTCCAGGATTTTGGATGAACATGGCTGGTAGACCCCAGTGAGAGAGGTGGGGAAAGGGGATGGGGTGGATGGATTTGAGGCCAAGGCGAAGGGTCAACAGGGTGAATGATCTTGAGATTGGGTGTTGCTTCTGATGGACAGAAAGGAAACATACCCTCAAAGAAGGCACCCTGTGAGGCAGAGTATTCCAAATTTGGAGGTTATGTAGAGTAAAAACTGAAAAGATACTATGGATGCTGTAAATCAGAAAGAAAAGCAGAAATTGCTGGGAAAGTTCAGTCGGTCTGGTAGCATCTGTGGAGAGAAAGCAGAGTTAACATTTTGGGTCAAGTGACCCTTCCTCAAAGTATAGATGATGTAATATACAGGAAGTTTACTGGATAGGAATGAGTGTGTTGCCTCATCAGAAAAGGTGGGCCAAAACAGTCTTGCTTCTAGAAGAATAGTAGTACTCACAAGGTACTCTGATTTACTGCCAATTTCTCTTTATCTTTGAGAATGTGTGGTGAACTGGCTTCTTGAGCTGCTTCAGTACATGTTCTATTTTTACACAGCCTTGTTGGATAGGAAATTAGGGGTTTTGCCCCCGCAACAGTGAAGGAACAATGACATATTTCCAAGTCAGGATGCTGCATGATTTGGAAATATATCACCAAAATAAAATTTCATCAGATCCAGCACCCAAGACCACTACCATCTGGAAGGCTGAAGGCAGTTACTATATGGGAATATCAGCACCTGCAAATTCCTCTCCAAAGCACTCAGCATTCTGACTTTGAACTATATTGTTTTGTAGATAGCTGCTGGCAGTACTTTGGTGGCTTTTAGACCTGCAGGTCTTCCTAAAGGTGGTGATCCAACTCTGTCAAAACACGTTTACAACTGTCAGGTGCACATTGAGTATGTCCCATCCCTTATTTTCACATATCTGTACTAGTATGGTTGGCCTCCTATAACATGTACAGGTGAACCTAAGCAATTCTACCACTTGTTGTCACTTAACTTCACAGCAGCAAATTCCTGCACTTATTGTTTCTCCTCTGTCAGTTGCAGTTTTAGAATGTAACACCCTTCAAACAGAAAGCTCGACTGAACCATGCAGCTTTAACTAACACAAACAGCTATTCACACACTTAGTTGTTCAAATAAAACCAATGCATTGGCCCTACATTGGTTGGATCCAATATGTACTTATGATAATTAAATATAGCACTCTCAAAAGAACCAACTGCTAATCTTGGATTGCAGTCATGACATTGATTTAACTACTTTGTGTTCATGCTGTCTTTATTTCTCACTCTGTTTCTATTCTAAATCTAATTACTTCCTTTCAGTTCTGCACAGTGGAAGGCTTCATCACTGCACTGATGGACGAATACCCTCATAGACTGAGAACCCACAAAAAGCTGTTCATTGCAGTGATGTGCATCATTTCATACCTCATTGGATTATGTAACATTACTCAGGTATATTAGGAATAAAATCCTTAGGCATTTCTTATTTGTATTGTAGACAAGTTATATGTTAACACATAAGATACTTATCAGGATTGTTCTTTATTTCATGATTGCTTTGATCAAAGTGAGTACATAGTTCAGTTTTCTTTTCAGAGGTTCATTTTAGGCTTATCAAGGTGAAGCATCTGAATGATGGATAATGTAATATGCTGTTTACATGTTTTGAGCTGCATGTCAGCATAGTTAATTGTACCATGGGTCAAATGCAAAGTAAAATAAGTAACCTCACATGCACTAATTGAGCTTGCTGTAACTTAATATTCTTATTTGACTATATCATCTTCTCTGTGCTCATTGCCAATTTTGTCCCTGTAAATGTTGAGTTTTAATAGTTTTGAGCTGTAGAAAAGGATGTTTAAGTGTGTTCAATTCATTTCACCAGTAATCCAACAACCAGCAGAGATAAAGTAATTTATTTACAAAGATTTGGGGTAGTTTCAGAACTATAATCTGCAACACAACCAAGTCTTCTCAATCCTCTAAGAATTCTGATTTTTTAATGATGTAACTAATACATCCACAAGTTCCCATTTAGCACAGTTTATTTTTTTTTTCAGTTTAGTACTTGAAATATTTCTTATAATGATACATTCTGGCAAGATATTTGATAGGGCATTCTTGAGAGCAGGTCACTTTCAATACCAAAGACAGACCACTGAGGGAAAATATACAAAAGACAAAGAGTGAGCTCGTTCCCCTTCCGGTTGGTCTCAGTGTCACACACCATGCACTGGACAGATAGCTCCCATATTTATACAACTCCACTCTGAAAAGTTTGTTTAGAAATTATAAAATTGTAGCCTGACAAAAACTTTCAGATTGATTTTCACTCCTGACCTGTAAGAGAGTGATTAACAGATATTTGGATTTAGGAAAGTGATTAAAAGATGCTTTGGGTTTACCTACAGTGGAATGGTTGAAGTCATCTTTCTAAGCAGAGGATGAGCACAAATATTTCACAATCCATTAATGTATTGTTCTGTTAAAACTTCTACATTTCAGCACTGGGAAAGCAAAAGACAGATTGCAGAAGTTACTACAGTGTAAAACACATCAGTGGATTACACAGTTGTTCTAGGGAAGATAGGATCAGTGGCTCTTGATGTTTGTTCTTGGCAATCTATATACCTAAGTTGCTGTTTCTCTTGGCTGGTTTGGGAAATATGGCTTTTCTTGCAGCTGGTGTATGAGATAGATTGATGCCTTACTAAGCCTGACAGATAAGGAGGCCTGTGGGTGTTCACTGGCCCATAGGCATTCACTGAGCCAATGGGTGTTCAGCCTAGAGATTGGGCTGAGACTGGGTTGAGAGCCATGGAAGCATAAGAATATATTGTGATGCATTAATATTATTAAATAAGAAACCAATAGAAACTTAGATTTGCTGCTACAAAGAAAACATCATTACAACCACACAGGAAGAGAATAGTAATACTATCAGAAGAAAGAGTGTAAAAGATTCTTTACCTCAAAAATAAATCAGGACCAGATCAGGGAGATCATAGAGACTAAATCTGTGAAGTCTGAGACTTTGGAGAGAGATGTATCAAATGTAAATATAATAGAAACAAAGATTTGGGGAGAGATTGTGAAGTGGAATTAACATCAGAATCACAAAAGATGATGAAGTAATGATAATGTTAGAGTCAAATGAATAGATAGAGAGACATGGAATAGTACAGATTCTCTAACCTCACAAGAAGAGAGTGCTTCTAAAGATCTAACTGTAAATAATGAATTATTGCAAAGAAGAAGACCATTGACTCAAGCAACCTATTTCTGGGAGACAAAACAAAACCCACACTCAAACTATGCAAGCAAACATAGACCACGCCTAGAGTACTGTGAGCAGTTGTGGGCATCACACCTTAAGAAGAATATATTGATCTTGAAGGGAATGCAGCCTAGGTTTACTACAATGATATCTAAACTCCAAACTCTTTCTTCACATCGAGATCTCTCTGGACTAGTCCTATCAGGAAATCAGAATGAAATCCTCTCGACTGTACATGACATGATCTTCCTAAATTTATCTCTTGAATTAGTATGGAACTGGGCTTTCTGGTTCTCTACTCTTGTATTCCCTACTGATAGTCCATGGCCTTCACTTCTTGACCTCTATCTTGGACATTTAGCTTGTTTTTATATTTTCTCATTGTCGTGCCTGCATTTCCCATTGTCACTGTGACTCTCTAGACATCTGACTGCTGGTAAGTAAAATACTTGTGACTCTATTTTGGGCAAATGATCTCCATAAGGTTACTTATTCAGATTCTTCACAATCAGTACATGCATTGATATGTATTTCCTAAGCTCTTAAGTCCTTTCACTCTGGTTCAAACTTTAGAACTCATGGGTGTCTAAAGGATATGTGCTTCTTCATCAACACCTTCTCCTGTGTTCTCAGAGTTTAATTGTCCCCGCTAGTCGTGAGCAATGTACCTTTATAGTCTGATTGCGGTTACAGTGTGGAAGTTTACCCATCACGTTCACTAATTTTTCCTGCCCCTTTCCTCTCCCTGTGTTCTTCTCTCATACAGTTAGCCATGTTACCTGATGTGAAATCTCCCTCTAACTGTTTCAACTTTAATAAATACTTTTCTAATAGTGTGTGATCCGTTTAGATGGATGCATAAAAAAGTGAGTTGATCATTGTTCCTTCTAGTGCTGAAGGATTGTCATGCAGGCATCTGACCATTTCCTGATTGATATAGGCTATACCCCTTAAGATGTCTGTAAGGATATTTTTTGCATGTACTGCATGTGCAAGTACAGTTTGTAACTTACAGTTGGATGATCTGGCAGTATTTTGTTCACCATCATATCAATTATTGCATCCTTTCTTTTGCACAAGTCAGTGCTGAATGGACATTGTATAGCAGTATGCATTACTGTGATATTTAAGTTCTAAAACATGACCCGAAGTTTGTCATTTACAAAATTATGCGTAATGAATCTTGATGGTGACCGAAGGCCTGTGCTGATCTGCTTTTCCATGACGTAATCATGCCTCACAAACCTTATTGAATTCTTTGAAGAGGTGACCAAACACATGGATGAAGGTAGAGCAGTGGATGTGGTATACATGGATTTAAGTAAGGCATTTGGTAAGGTTCCCCATGGTAGGCTCATGCAGAAAGTAAGGAGGCATGGGATAGGGGGCAATGTGGCAGATTGGATTCAGAATTGGCTGACCCTTAGAAGACAAAGGGTGGTAGTGGATGGAAAATATTCAACATGGTGCTCAGTTACGAGTGGTGTACCACAAGGATCTGTTCTGGGTCCTCTTCTATTTGTGATTTTTGTAAATGATTTGGATGAAGGAGTGGAAGGGTGGATTAGTAAGTTCGCGGATGATACGAAGGTGGGTTGAGTTGTGGATAGTGCGGAGGGCTGTTCTAGGTTACAAAGAGACATTGATAGGATGCAGAGCTGGGCTGAGAAGTGGCAGATGGAGTTTAACCCTGAAAAGTGTGGGGTGATTCATTTTGGAAGGACAAATTTGAAAGCAGAATACAGGGTTAATGGAAAGATCCTTGGCAGTGTGGAGGAGCAGAGGGATCTTGGGGTTCATGTCCACAGTTCCCTGAAAGCTGCCACCCAGGTGGATAGAGTTGTTAAGAAGGCGTATGGTGTGTTAGCTTTCATTAATAGAGGGATTGAGTTCAAGAGCCATGAAGTTATGCTCCAGCTATACAAAACCCTGGTTCAGCCACATCTGGAGTATTGTGTCCAGTTCTGGTTGCCTCATTACAGGAAAGATGTGGAAGCATTGGAAAAGGTGCAGAGGAGATTTACCAGGATGTCACCTGGAATGGAAGGAAGGTCTTACGAGGAAAGGTTGAGAGAGCTAGGGCTTTTCTTTTTAGAACGACGAAGGATGAGACGTGACTTGATAGAGGTGTACAAAATGATCAGAGATATAGATAGAGTAGACAGCCAGAGACTTTTTCCTAGGGTGGAGGTAGCTATTACGAGGGGACATAGTTTTAAAGTGAGTGGAGGTAGATATAGGGGAGACGTCAGAGGTAGGTTCTTTACTCAGAGAGTGGTAGGGGCATGGAATGCATTGCTGGAGAGGGTAGTGGAGTCGGCCTCATTAGGGGCATTTAAGCTGCTATTAGATAGGCGAATGGATGATAGTATAAGGTAGGGGTGGAGTTTAGATAGACCTTAGGATTAGGCTAAAGGTTCGGCACAACATCGTGGGCCAAAGGGCTTGTACTGTGCTATACTGTTCTATGTTCTATGTTCTAATCCACTACAGTCCATTTATCTTTATCATTTATCACTGTGGAAATGCCAATCCCAGTTGTCATATCTACAAAAAGTAATAGTTAGACATCCCACTCTTTGCTCCATATCTTCTGATCCAGGACTACTATTTCATTAAATTCCTCGGTTAAGGAAAACTTAGAATTGGATGTGGTAATGCTTATAAAAGTTAATACATTGCAATGTGATCTGATCTACAAAGATGCATTCTCTTTATCCATAACTCTGGCAGCCTTTAACATTAGCTTTGATGTTTGTGAGGATGGGTGAGCAAATTGTTTGTGCAATTTCCACATAATCATCTTCTTATCAGAGAGATTCCTATCTGCATAGGTCAATAACATTTCTTGAACCTCTTGAGAAACTCCAGTTTCATCAATGGAATACAATAAAGTCCAGATTTTGTGAATTGCAAGTTTACTATTTTACCAAATACAAATGCTTTATTGTTCTCCATGGCCAAATGTATTTTCACTTTATTTCATTGAAGACTTACTCAGCAATAATCATATGTTGCTCTGGAAGTCAACAGTGCTTACAAAATGTTCTAGCTGTGCAATTACTCACTAAAGATGACAACTAATGATCAACCCTAAATCGAAAGCAAGTAGTGCTTTCATATTCTTTGATTCTGTTTTGTTTTTGCTTTGTCCAGGGTTTCCAAATAACAGTTCAACCAATTGACACCACACCCTATTGAGGTACAGCCACTGCCTGCGGCAACACAATTGAATGAGTCAGCAATTGAGACACTCATGGGCTGACTTAAGTCTTCAGTCACTAACACAATCTTTTCTCATTGTTCAGCCTGATTATGTTCATCCTCAGAACCATCTGTTTCCTGTGTTGCTTCAAATACTTGGCTTCAAATACTTGGACAGTTCCTGACGTTGTGATATTTGGAGTCATGCTGGAAATGTGTACTAACTATTCACTGTAGACTTCTGGAATCATTTATGGTCCTGCACTTTCTCTTAATTCAGAAATCTATTCAAGGAACAACTCCCCTCAAAAGAAATAAAGGAGGGCACTAAATCAAAGTGTTGCTGGAAGCAGAGGTCATGCATTCCCATCACCTGAGGCACTGATCTGTCTCTAAAAGCTTTGATGTATGAGATCTGACTTTTTTAAAAATAAAGAAATCCAACAACATAACTAATTACTCAGTGAACAAATTACAGACACTGCCCAGCAGGGATATAAGCTCGAGTGTGAGGTTGGAAAAGCACAGCAGGTCAGACAGCATCCAAGGAGCAGGTAAGTCAACATTTCAGGCTGAAACCTTTCGTCAGGACTGCCTGTGATTTTCCAGCTTCATACCTACAGACTTTGGCTTCCAGCATCTGCAGTCCTTATTGCCTCCAGGGGTATAAACTCAGCTGTTTTTAAGAAGCTCAAAAATAAACTATCTAATCACCCAATTAATCAAATACAAATGCTGTCCCCAGGAGTAGTGTAACAACAATGAAAAGTCAAGGAGATGAACTGAGCTTTGAGGTTGTAGACTTGCTTGTCGAGCTCGTGTGTTTGATTGCAGACGTTTCGTCACCCTGCTAGGTAACATCGTCAGTGCACCTCTGGTGAAGCTTTGGTGTACTGTCCTGCTTGTTATTTATATGCCTCAGAGACCAATTCTCACTGGTCTCAATACACACAGACAAAGAAGGACATGAATTTGACTGGGATGACACATCCATAATAGCACAAGCTAAACAGAGATACACCAGGGAAACCCTGGAGGCCTGGCATTCCAGCCGGAACTCCATCAATAAACACATTGAACTGGACCTGATATACAAACCACTGAGAAACAGAACCGGAAGTGATGCCAACCACCCAGCAAACCGAGGCATGGAAATAGCAAGCAGGACAGAACACCAACGCTTCACCGGAGGCACACTGACAGTGTTACCTAGCAGGGTGACAAAATGTCTGCAATCAAATACATCAGCTCAGCGAGCAAGTCTACGACCTCATCCACACCCCGAGCTACAAATCTTCTCAAAAGCTTTGAACTGATCTCTGTTTGTTTTAAGTTAAACCAATTGCCAATTTAACTAAACTCCCAATAAACAAATCACATGACTGCCCTCCGGAGGCAAACTTATGACTTTTCATTGTTTGACCAGGAATCAAATTTGGGCCGTGGGCAGTGAAACCATTAAATCATAACTATTTAATCACCAGGGATGGTAAGAGAGACACAAGCGATACTGAAATTGAGGAAATGTTAGACAGTCTACAAAATCACTCTGCAGTTATTTTAATCAACCTGTTTGGGCACACTATGACACATTATGGGGAAAATAACACCCTCTAGCCCCTGCAGTGCCCACCTCCCTCTAAAGGCTTCACTGGTATAAACTAAACTCTTTTTGTTACTTTAAGAACCTATCACCAAATCACCGAATTAAAACTACTGCAGAGCTCACTAGGCTAGACCAACAATGACAAAAAGAAAAAGGTGGGGCAAACAAAGGACGAGCTAAATAAAAATGGAGTTGAGGATGAGATAATACTTTGCAGGCCATGGTGCCCATCTCTCTCGAAAGACTGAACTCCTATTTTTAAAAAATAAACTATCACCAAATCATTTATTTATGAACTTTCTTTTTAATCCAAATTTTACTAGTGCAATGGTTGGAATTGAACCCACACTCCTGAAGCTGCAGCTCGATGCTCTGGATTACTAGCCCAGAAATATTTATCATATGCTACTGTCCCCAGCATCCCAATCCTGTTTATGACTTCGATATTTCCTATTTAGCCTGTATTACCCACCTATAGAACAGATGGGACTTGAACCTAGGCCTCCTAGCTTAGAAGTAGGGACACTAACACTGCACTACAAGAGCCCAGAGTATTTATGATTTTTTTTTGCCCTTCTTCTTATATCCAGAAGTGTTCTTAGACACAACTGAATTGCATTTTATTTCCAATCACCAAATCACCCATGGTATTTTTTGTATCTACTAACCATAACAACTAAATTGCCTGTGTTCTCCAACTGATTAATTTACATGCAAAGCCCTTTAAGGGCAATGCAGACCATTAAAAGTGAGGGGGAGTTAGGGAAGGTGGAAATAGCTAAAGGGGGATGGGGCTAAATCAAAATGGAGTTGGAAGGGGCATGTTTATGACATGAATACAAAGTTAAATGAGCATCGTCTGCTCTCAATCAACTCTGGAGCTCATCTGTTTGTCCATTAAAGACACATGCATCTTGACAACTGAAGTTCAATATGGGTTCCGTCAGGACAAGTTTGCTCTTGACCCCATGACAAGTTTCGTTCAAAAAGGGACAAAACAGCTAAACTCCAGAGGTGAGCTGAGAGTGATTGTCCTGAGTGTGGCATCAAGGAGCCCTAGCAAAACTGGAGTCAATGGGATTCAGGAGAAATTCCTCCACTAGTTGAAGTCATACCTAGCACAGTGGATGGTGGTGGTAGCTATTTGTGGTCAGTCATCTCAGGGCCAAGACATCTCTGCAGAAGTTCTTCAGGGTAGTGTCCTAGGCCCAATCATCATTAGCTGCAACATCAATGACCTTCCCTCCAAAAGAAGGTCAGAAGTATAAATGTTTGCTAATGATTGCACAATTTTCAGCACCATTTGCTATTCTTCAGATACTGATGCAGTCCAAGCACAAATACAGCAAGACCGGGACGGCAAACCAGCTCGGCTGAGAAGTGCAAGTGACATTTGCATCACAAAAGTGTCAGGCAATGATAATATTCATCAAGAGAGAAACTAACTATCCCTGCTTGATATTCAATGGCATTACCTTTGCTGAATCTCCCACTATCAGGGAGGGGTCTCTAGAGAGGGAGCTACCATTAACCAGAAACTGAACTGGAGCAGACATTTAAATACTTTGGCAACAAGATCAAGTCAGAGGCTAGGAACGTTACAGTGAATAACGCATTTCCTAACTCACCAGAAGCCTGTCCATCATCTAAAGGCACAAGTCAGGAGTGTGATGGAATACTTCCCAGTAATTTGGATGAATGCAGCTCCAGTAACACTCAAGATGGTTGACACTATCCATGACAAAGCAGCCCATTTGATCGGCAGCACATCCACAAACATTCACTGTCCCCACCACTGATGCACAGCAGCAAGTGTGCACTATCTACAAGACGCACTGCAGAAATTCACATGAATCCTCAGACAGCACCTTCCAAACCCATGACCACTTCCATTTAGAATGATAAAATCAACAGATACATGGGAGTACTATCACCTGCAACTTCCCCTCCAGACCACTCACTATCCTGACTTGGAAATATATTGCTGTCCATTTGCTGGGTCAAAATCCTGGAACTTCACCATCCCTCCCCAACAGCATCGTAGCTGTACCTACACTAAATGGACTACAGCAGTTAAAGAAGGCAGCTCACCACCTTCTCATGGGCAATCAAGGGTGGTTAATAAATGATGTTTAGCTAGCAATGCCCAGATTCAGTAACTAAATAAAAAGTAGGTGTGTTTTCATATGAGAAGGGTTGAAGATGCTAGGCTTGTATCCCCTGGAGATTAGAAGAATAAGAGATAACTTAAGTGCAACATATAAGGTCCTGAGGGATTTTGACAGGGTGCATGTGGAAAGCATGTTTCCAGTTGTGGGAGAATCTAGAATTAGGGGTCACTGCTTAAAAATAAGGTTTCACCTATTTCAAACAGAGATAAGAACTTTATTTTCTCAAAGTGGGTTGACAGTCTTTGGAACTCTCCTCAAAAGTGGGAGAAATAGAGGTTTTGAATCTTTTTGAGGCAAAAGCGGGTAGATTCTTGATAAACAAAGTGCTAAAACGTTGTCAGGAATGTGCAGTGATCCGATCAAGCCTTGATCTTATTGAATGGTGGAGCAGGCTCAAGAGGCCAACTGGCTTATTCCTGTTCTGACTTTATATATTTGTATGTCTGTTCATGTGTTGGCATTCTGGTATAGCTATAGTTGACCTATTTTCTGAACTGGATTTACAGATAATGTTCTGAGAAGATATTTTTAAATTGCATTTGTAATTTATATTTCAACTTTTCATCTTTAAACTTTCTTTCTGAACACAGGGTGGCCTCTACGTGTTCAAGTTGTTTGACTATTATTCTGCCAGTGGCATGACTCTCCTCTTTCTGGTATTCTTTGAGACTATCTCAATATCGTGGTTTTATGGTTAGTGACTGTTCTAAATATAATCCTATTTTAATTATATTAGGAAATGTTATGACTCCTGTTAATGTAAAATTGCAGTCAGATATGGGAGGAGAGAACAACTTAGAAATAAACCTAGATATAGATTTCAGTATAAATGGCTCTCTTCAGACACTTCTGCTATGGAGCAACAAACTATGATGATTATTATCAAAACTCTAGATATAAATAGAAATCATGAAGTATTTCAACCTTTAATCTCAAGGCAAATGCATCATGGAATGACAAGACATGGTTTTTAATTCCTCATAGGATCTCATCAGTGTAATGAAGGGCAAGTGCTCAATACAAGGATCTTCTCCAAAACCCACAGTCATTTTTACTGTGCTGTTGTGTGCCGCATAGTGGCATTTACAGCCTAACACTTCCTGACACTTGGGAGAAAGCATCTTGCTTGCTGGCCCAGGAGGAATCTGGATATCAAGAAAAGCTTAGGAGGGGAAATCAATTTTCAGCACATTTTTCCTCTGAATCTCTAATTCATGTTTGCTTTCTTGTTAATAATACATCAGATTTGCATTGCAATGATAATCCTTGCTTAAATCCTATAGCAATGAATGCAGTGGTAAAATGATGCTGGCTAAGTGTTTTCATTTGGTTAGAATTGAAGACCCTTTTGTTCAGACAGCAGAAACTTAGAGGAAGGCATTGGTCTATTGTGAGAAAAAAATAACACTCAGCAAAATTTCTTCTGCTTCTTGTCACTGGAATTAACTGTCCTTGTGATAAGTTACAGTTGTGACAACTGAGCAGCAAGGATCTAAGATTTCTGGAGTTCTCTGTTTAGATTACTTTCTGCTCATCAGTTGTAAAATTGTTGCTTTGTTTTGTTACTAAGCAAGTTTCATACATTCTGTACAGTGAGGTTCTTTATAATGTATGTATAATCATTATTAATTCCTGATGAGAATGCATATTAATTTGGTGTCTTACTGCATTGTCCTGAACTTAACATGGCCATTAAAGGTGACATTATAAGGTATTCCATTTTAGATGGGCAGTGGTAAAGACACCTAACTTTACATTCCCAATCATTCTCTAAGCAATGTACTCTTGGATGATTGCCACTAATAATTATCCATTAATTCATCTAGCTAAAATTATTTTCAATCATTCATCTCTAGATTTTGCAGTAGTAATGTCACTAATTCTGTATGACTTTCCAAATATTTGCCCACCCAATTAAGTGCTGTACTGTTTTAATAACTAGACATTCTAAAGCATGCTAAGCTAAGCTAATAATGTTTCCGCAGCAATGCACAATATCATTTTATCAAGAGACAAAGGATTGTAGATATTGTTAGTTAGGAAGGAGTCTTTATGCATACACTGTATGCATTAAATTTCTTAGTCATCACGCAATACCTACAGAAAACATATATATTTCAAGATATAGTCTATAATCCAAAGAAGAGGTAAATTGTAATCTTCAGAGTTTACACTGCAACCTTTGGTTCTGTGATCAGAAGGCAGTACAGTTATGCATAATACAATCAGATTATTTCTTGGGAGCTCAATTGGCAATGATCCCTGGCGACATTCTTTTACCAGTCAATATGAAACATTTTTCTTTGCCTAAATCAGATTTCAAATCAAAGAGAAATATGTAAAACAACAACAGCCAGAAGGTGAGTAGGTGATCGATCTTGACGTCCTCCAAAGGCTTGTGTCAGATACCATTCTTTATCCAAAATAAAAACCGACAGAACTGTGCTGCTGTAAATCAGGAACAAAAACAAAGTTGCCGGAGAAGCTCAGCAGGTCTGGCAGCATCTGTGAAGGCAAAAACAGAGTTAACGTTTCAGGTCTGGTGACCCTTCCTTTGTTTTTGTACTAGTCTTTATCCAATTTGATTCACTCCACATGATATCAAGAAATGGCTGAAAACACTATATACCACTATGTCTATGGGCTGACAACATTCTGAAGATAACATTGAATACATAAGCCTCAAGCCAACCTGGTCCAGCTACAGCTACAATATTGGCATCTATCCGGCAATGTGGAAAATTGCCCAGCTATGTCCTATACACCAAAAGCAGGACTAGTCCAACCTTGCTAATTACCAATCTATTACCTATATAATTCTCAATTTACTCTTAATCTTCAGTGATGTGATGGAAAATGTAATTGACAGTGCTATAAGGTGGCATTTGCAAAGGAATAAACTGTGCACTGATGCTCAATTTTGGTTCTGCCAGGGACACTCAACTCATGACCTCATTTTAGCCTTGGTCCAAACATAGACATAAAATGCTGAAATTCAGAAGCGAGCTGAAGTCTGACTATCTTCTACATCAACATAGCATTTGATGGAGTACGATATGAAGCAGCCCTAGAAAAACTGGAGTCCATGGTAATCAGGGAAAATGCTTGGCTGGATGGAATCATTCTGAGCACAAAGGAAGACGGTTGTTGACAGCCAATCATCTCAGCTCCAGGAAATCATTTTATGGGTCCCTGGGGTAGCGTCCCAGGCCCAACCATCTTCAGCTGCTTTATCGATGACCTTCTCTCCATCAAAAGGTCAGAGGTGGGGATGTTCGCTGATGATTGCACAGTGTTCAGCACCTCAGATACTGACACACATCAATATGCTACAAGACTTAGCCAACATCCCAGCTTGGGCTAATAGGTGGCAAGTAACATTCGCAGCCAGGCAATGACAGTCTCCAACAAGAGTGAATCTCACCATCACTGATTCCCCAACTACTGCAGAGGTTACCATTGATCAGAAACTGAATTGGAATAGCCACATCAATACTTTGACCACAACAACAGATCAGAGGCTAGGAATTCTACGAATAAATAACTCACCTTCCATCTCCCTAAAGCATGTCCACCATCTACAAGGTGCAAGTCATGAGATTGATGGAAATCATCCCACTTGCTTGAATGAGTGCAGCTTCAACAACATTCAAGAAGCTTGCCATCATCCAGGCCAAGGCAGCCTGCTTGACTGGTATCCCAATCATCACTTTTAAGATTCACTTTCTTCACTTTTTGTGCATGGTTGCAATAGTAAGTACCTCTACAAGATACACTGCAGCAACTCAAAAGGCTCCTTTGACAATACCTTCCAAATTCTCAAACTCTATCATACAATTAAAAACAAAATACTATATGGATATTGGAATTCTGGGAATTCTGAAATCAGAACCAAAAGTGTTGGAGAAACTCAACAGTCTGGCAGCATTTGTGAGGAGAGAAACAGAATTAACATTTAGAGTTCAGTATGACTCTTCTTCAGAAGCTCTATCACCTTGTATGACAAGGGCAGCAAATATGCAGGTTATAAACACTTGCAAGTTCCCCTTCAAACCACTTGCCATCCGGACTTTGAAATGTATCGCTGTTCCTTCAATGTCACAACTTCAAAATTCTGGAATTGCCTTCTGAACACTACCTTGGATTTCCTTACCCAAGTACTGCAGCAGTTCAAGAAGACACCTCAAACAATAAATGTTAGTCTAGCCAATGATGCCTGCATCCCCTGGATGGTTTTTGTTTTCAAAAATCCACTTGCTTTGTTTGAGACGTTTAATGTACTAAGACTTCCCAACATACTTCATAGGCATTAGGGGACCAAATTGCATACCAAATCATATAAAGAAACACCAGAACAAAAGCTTGATCAAAGAGGTAGGTTTTGGGTAGAAGAAAATAAGGTAAAGGGCAACAGGTATTAAGGGAGGAATTCCAAAGCTTAGGAGGTAGGAAGTTGAGGGCATCATCACTAGCGGTGGAGCCATTAAAATCAAGAATGTTTAACTGGTCAGCATTGCAGAATGCAGAGATGGTTTCTTGTAGGGCTGAAGAAGATTGTTGAGATAGGATGGAGTGAGGTTTTGAAACGTCTTAAAAATGAAAATGAAAATTTTGAAATGGTATTGAAATTTTCTGGAAAGCTTGATGTCCAAAGGCTATAATTGTTGATATTGTTTTTCACAGGAGTTAATAAGTTCTATAGAAACATTGAAGAAATGATTGGATACAGGCCATGCATATGGTGGAAACTTTGTTGGGTATATTTTACCCCTATTGTAGTTCTGGTAAGACTTTTTTTAAATTTCTTTAAACTGTAGCTTTATCTTTTTAAAAAAATTAATTCTGAATCTAATTCCATTTCTCCCTCTCTGAACCTGTCCTTTCCCCTTTCTCTCAAGTTTGCTAATCTCTTTTCTGTGAATTATTTCTTTCTTGTTGCTTGTTTTATTTTCAGCATTTCCTCCTGGATAATTAACACTTGCATTTCTCACGTTCCTGCTTCCTTTTGCGTGAATCAATGCAATTTTCTGGATATCATTTCATTTCAATTTTCATGAAAGAAACAATGCACATACCTCTATCTCAGATATCATATCATCCATATCACATACCCTGAATTTTCCCCTCATGTGGAACACATTATTCCTCATCATAAGGCATAGAAGTGATTTAGATAACCTCTAACCAGGTCTGTATGCAAAATACATTCCCTGCGTCATCAGAAAGATTGTCATCTAATCCATAGTGTGTCTTGTTTTAGCTGATCTCAGCACATCTATTCACATGCTTTTAGTGTATTGGCCCCAGGCTTGAGAGGGGAAGTGTGTTGCCACCCAAATAATTATTCAGTGCCCTCTAGTGGTGAATATACAGAGAAGAAACACCCAGATCTGTCTGTAATATTCCCGATGGTTCAAAATTTCTTTCATAGCCTCACGCATGAACAATAGTTCCTTTGAGGAGCTCCAGGGGAATTTTCTTATTGAATTGTGCCCCATGTTGTTACTGAAACAAGTTTAATACAAGCTGCTGAATGTGATGTACTTAACAATCACTTGATTAAAAAAAATTGTTATTGGAAGAACCTTGTCTTCTTCAGGCTAGAACATTCAAGCAAATCGTCTAATTGTTCGCACTTCATTATGAGATTCAAAATGAAGAAAATATTTGTGCAATAGCCATAGTCTGCCTGCAGATGGCTTGAACATTTTTAGTAAATATTTCAAAATTTCTTGTAAAATTAAATGGCAGCACATTTGTTTCATTAAATTGTCACAGGGTCTTGTGACTGTTCATTGGCAACGTAATCAACATTAGTGCACCTGCAAACCTGCAATTAATTTAGGCTGACAGGCTTGTTAAAAACATCTAAGGGCAGAAACATCCATGCCCCTAAGTGGGCAATGGCCAGCCCTAGGGAATGCTCCATGAGCAGTAACAATCTGAACCCTTAATCCATGGTGATTGACATTGGAAATCTATCAGCCTCACCACATTATCATGGCACATTTCTGACTCACTTACAGTTCATCAGTTCACTTAACTTTGGAGCACACCAACACCCCTTTCAATGTAATGCTGTTGCCAGACCACTTTGTGTGCAGGAATGAGCATCCATCTCATACGTTAGCACAGGGTACATCTCAGGGCTGTTTGCTTGCTTCCTTAATGTTCACTCATTTTTTACTTACTTGGATGCTCTCTGCATCTCTGCTTTATCTTGACTTTTTGGTGCATTGCTGCCTCATTCAGAACTTACAGTTTTACAGTACTTTGTCTTGCCTTCTAGTGCAGACACAAAGTCAGGCAGCTTGCCATGGTTGTTAGCAGTGATCAGTCAAGGGGGCAGACATGTTGGTGTATGGCACTGTGCTACATCAATGACATGTCAGCAGCATGCTCTAGCATGTACTTCAACCACATCTAAGGGGAGCAGTCCTCAGCCAAGCCAAGGGGTTTGTTTGGCGCAGTCAGTCAGGGGCAGTCTTCAACCTCAGTCCAAGCTTGGACACAGTCAGTCAGCAGCTTGGGGCAGTCAGGGTTAGGAGTTCCATGTCACTGACTCTGGGGAGTGGGTCACAATCTGTCCTGCTAGTCCGGTGTCACCAGTCAGAGGTTTAGCAGTAGGTCAGTCAGGGAACAACATGAGATCAGTCAGGGATTTAGTCACTCATTAGTCTGGGCTGGTCTTCCAAATAGGTCAAAGGAGTTGAACTATGGTCAATCATAGGAGTCATTTCACTACAGTTAAGTTGTTAATCAAAGGTCTATGCTTTAGTTGGCAAATCGGGGAAGTTAGTTGTGGGGATTGGAGGCAGCATGCTGAGATGCAGAGAGGACCAATAATTTTGAAGGAGAAGAAGCCAAAATATAAGGGCAGGAGATGATAGTACATTGGAGGATGTGGGTTACAGCAAAAGGAGGGGTCATTGATGGTTACCGTTACATTTTCTTTAACAGGGAGACAATGCATCATAACGATTGGCATGGCTGAGTCGTAGGCCTGGAGCTCAGGGATAAGGTTGGGAGGTGAAGACTTAAATGAAAGTGTTGGGTGAGAGTGTGTGGAATATCAGAACTGTTGGTGTTAACAGGGACAGCAAGAACCAAAGAAACGTGAAGGTATGGAGGGCCCCTAACGTTACCAGGCTGAGCCTGCAACTACTTTGTGAAGCATGATTTGGTTTGCCTTCCACTGTCATCTCAATTGCACATACACAGTGGAATAGAAAAATGGCTGCCGCCACACCTGGATTGGGCAGACTCATTGTTTTCTTCTGTCGGAGAACGTAGGTTCTTTTGACAGATATGACGCCCTTCAAGGGGCAATTGCATTAATCAATCACTTTTACAGTGCAGGTTGAAGACTTCTGTAATCATTGAATTCTGTATACAAAACACGTGCATGTTCTGCATGATGAACTATGCAGAGTACAAATTCTGGCCACAAGTAATCTTGACAATTTCATTGGTAATTAAAACTTGATCATATTCATCTCTGTAAAGCAGAATTGGTCACAGTTAATTTTAAAAATATTACCTGTGTACCACAATTCATAAAGACGATCCAAGGTCTCAAAGGCTGCATAAGGGCAGACTGTTTCCTCTCATTTGACCTGCAAGTATTTGACAACAGACTCTTATGTGCAATGCTACCTTTTTGGGTGATGTGTGGGATGGGGTTGGAGGGTACATTTTTAGGAATGCTACTGCACTTACAACCTTCCACTGTATTTGTGCAGCCTTGCTCGTGATGCACACAATGGAAAAAGGTCCACGATATCAAGGATCTAAATACAGTCATCACTATATCCCATATAGAGGACTATGCTGAACTGTCATTTGTATGTGACATAAATGAAGACAGCCTACATTATTAAGGAGCTGTTTTGTTTCTGAGATTCAAAAGGTCACTCAGAGCATCCCCAGTGGATCAATCCACAGCAGGGCTGGTCATCATAGTGGCCACAATGCCACCAAGGTACAGAAGAATCAAGGAGGAACAAATATGCCACTAAACCCAGGACCAGGTGCGACCTCCAGCTACTGCCAAACAGCTTCCATACGAAGGAGTTGCAGATGAATACTCTCTCAGGATGTGGAGTTACAAAAGGCCCAGAATCCATCATCCTTAATGCAGTTTCCTCCAGTTGAGTGAGGCGCACTGTCATTCAGACTGAGAATATCCCAGGACACTGTTACAGAACTGAATTGGAAATTGTGGACTGAATGGGTGGCTGTCAAGGTGACAGCTGCGTTACTTTTTAATGCAATTGAGGCTCTGTGTGGGATCTCTTTATTGTCAACCCACAAACATATCAAGGCTGTTACTCATACAATTTGTGCCAGTTCAGCATAGTCCTCGATACGGGGTATAAGGATGTCTGTATTTGGATCCTTGATATTGTGGACCTTGTTCCATTGTGTGCATCGCAAACAAGGTTAGAGCTGCAGCCCAAGCTATAGGCTTTGCCAATTTAGCTGACTTCCATCAGGCGTAGGATGTTATAGATTGCGTACATGTCACATTGAGAGGGCCATATCATAATAGACTTCATCAATAGAAAATACTTGTATTCAGTAAATGCACAAGTCATAAGACCATGAGAAATAGAAACAGGAATAGATCATTTAGCCCCTCGAGCCTGCTCCACCATTCAATGGAATTATGGCTGAACCGACATTCCTCATGTCCTCTTTACTGCATTTTCCCCTCAACCATCGATTCTCCTACTGATCAAGAATCTATTTATCTCAGCCTTAAATAAATACAAGGACACTGTCTCCACAGTTTTTGTTCTACCCTCCAAACTGAACAATTTCACATTTTTCTACATTATACTCCATTTGCCAACTTGTTGCCCACTTACTTAACCTATCAATATCTCTCTGTAAAAACTGTTTGCATCCTTCTTGCAACTTGCCTTTCCACCTATTTTTGTATCATCTGCAAATTTGGTTACAATGCATTAGCTTACTTTGTCCAATTCATTGATATGTATTGAAAACAGTTGCAGTGCGGTCATCTGTGATCATCGGTACCGCATCTGAGCAACCTGTGCCAAATACCCTGGAAGCTGCCTTAATACCAATATCCTTGATAGTTCTCAGGTTCCTACTTCATTTCAAGAGCTGGATGTTTACAAGAGTGGCTGCTCAGGGGTTAGTCTACCCCCTGCAACCATGACTGACAACTCTGTTACAGAAGACCTTTAATGAGGTTTTGAATAGAACAAATGCAGCTCATTCTTCCATCAGAGCCAACCTGGAGCAGGCAATAAGCCTGCTAAAGGCGGCACAGTGGCATAGTGGTTAGCACTGCTGCCTCATAGCGTCAGGGACTGGGTTCAATTCCAGCCTGGGCGACTGTCTGTGTGGAGTTTGCACATTCTCCCCGTGTTTGCATGGGTTTCCTCTTGGTGCGTTGGTTTCCTCCCACAGTCCAAAGATGTGCAGGTTAGGTGGATTGGCCATGCTAAATTGCCCAGAGTGTCCAGGGATTTTCAGGTTAGATGGATTAGCCATGAGAATTGCAGCATTACAGGGATAGGGTGGGTCTGGGTCAGATGTTCTTTGGAGGGTTGATGTGAATTTGATGGGGTAAATGGTCTGCTTCCACACTGTAGGGATTCTACGATTCTAATACTGGATCAGTCTAGGGGAGACCTTGCAATGTATTCAAGATATAGTGTGCTGCATAATCCTGGCGTGCAATGGTCTGCACAGCTGGAGTAAAGAGAGGGTGTGATGGACAGTGAAGAGTCTTCCAAAGAGGAACATAAGAACGTTGAGCTGGAGGAACATAATCTTCAGCATGATTGAGCTGTGCACAATCATGTTCAATAAACCAGACATGACTGGATTGGTTCCCAATCCCAAAAGTTGTGATCAGGGTACAGTGAACACTCCTTAATTATAAAGTTGTTGTTCCTCAAAAGGCAAGCAGCCCCTTTTTGTTCCCAAACGAAAATGTACCTTTTTATTCTTCACTCTTGTTGTTGTTCAATAAAAGTTAATATTTTCACCTGTCTGAAGGCTTTCTAACAATGATACTCCCACAGTGACATGATATTTTGCTACACTGGACATTCAGGAAAGAATAGGACACCCTTAGACAGAATTCTAACATGGAATGGTGTTCAGGATGGGTAACACTTGGAGCATCATTCTTGGAGCTGCAGGTACAATACAATAACGGTCAGTCAGACAACTTCCATTTGCACTGATGCTTTTCTTTTTCATTTCCCTCCCACTACTAACCTTATGCACAGCCAGACTTTAACTATAGTGCCAGTGGTACAAATTGCAGGAGATGCCAGCAGCAGTGAGTACTTCCACTGCTGGTGAGTGCACAATAGTGTGATGCGGTGCCATAGAGTCTTGGTACATACACAACGAAGTGACTATCAGAGAGTTTTGTGAGATACCTCCCCAGAGGTCACAGACAGAAACTCTCCATCAAACTCCAAAAAATTGACACTTAGACAATTATTCGTAATGGTCAGCCCTCAAGTCAGCTATGCTCAGTGCTTCATACAAAAATCCATTGTTGCCTTACTTTCACTGTACTTGTGCACACATCAAACAAGGAATATCGCTCAGACATCTCTAAAGATCTCCAAATATATGTTATTCTCATAACACAGGAAGGGTCTAGGCCCGAAACGTCAGCCTTCCTGCTCCTCTGATGCTGCTTGGCCTGCTGTGTTCATCCAGCTCTACACCTTATTATCTCTATCAATTCCTGGTCCCACTTTAAAATAATATTTAAAAACATAAAAGCTATTTACCCTAAAATGTCTTTGAATTGTGGAGTACTTATAATTGACATTAAGATCATCAAACCATAAGAAATAGGAATAGGAGTAGGTTATTCAGCCCCTCGAGCCTACTCTGCCACTAATAGGATCATGGCTAATCCAACATTCCTCACATCCACTTTCCTGCCTTTTCATCTTAACCCTTGATTTCCCAACTGATGAAGAATCTATTTACCTCAGCCTTAAATACATACAAGGTCTCTGTCCCCACAGCTCTTTATAGCAAGGAGTTCAAAAGACTCATGCCCTCTGAGAGAAGAAATTCCTCCTCAATTTAGTCCCAAATTGGCACCCCTTTGTTCTGTGGTTATGCCCTCTGATCCTAGGCTCTGCCATGAGCGGAAACATCATCTCAGCATTTACCCTGTCAAACTCAATAAGAATCCTATATGTTTCAATGAGATCACCTTTCATTCTTCTAAACTCCAGTGAGTAGAGTTCCAACCTGTTTAAGCTTTGCTCGTAAGCCAATTTCTCCATACCAGAGATCATCCTAGTGAACCTTCTCTGAATTGCCTCCAATGAAATGAAACGTTTCCTTAAATAAGGGAACTAAAACTGCTCAAAAATGTGGTCTCACCAGGACCTTGAACAGTTGCCGTAAGATTTCCCTACTCTTATACTAGTACCCCCTTGAAATGAGAGCCAACATTACATTAGCCTTCCTGATTACCTGCTCTTTGTGCTAGCTTTCTGTATTTTAAGTACAAATGGGTACAGAAGGAAACTGCCATCCTTACCTGGTCTGGCCTACATGTGACCTCAGACCCACAGCAATGTGGTTGACTCATAACTGTCCTCTGGGCAATTAGGGATGGGCAATAAATGCTGGCCTAGCCAGCGGCACCCTCATCCCATGAATGAATCATGTTAAATACTCCCACCTCCCTTTGTGTTGGAGCTTTGTGCAGTTTCTCTGTATTTCAATAATACTGTTCTTTTGTTCTCCCTTCCAAAATGAACAACTTCACATTTTCTCACATTATACTCCATTTGCTAGCTTTTTGCTCACTTACTTAACATATCAATATCTCTCTGCAAACTGTTCGCATTAACATCATCAGCAAATACGGCTACAGTGCAGTCACTTCTGTAGTGCTAATGTATATATGCGATAACAGCCTATATATCATACTTTTCTCTTAATGTTATCCCCTCAGAGTCATTTGATAAGATAAAGAAAGAATTTTCATATTACAGTTAATGATGTATTTTTCAATATATTGTCATGCAGGAAATTGCATGGAGCATGGCCCCAGAAACAACAATGAAATAAATAATTTTCATCTTAACTGCATTTGAATAGGGGTAAATGTTGACAAGACCACTGGAAGAATGGCCCTGTCCTTCTTTGATTATTTCTGTGGTATCTTGCCCTTCATGCTACAAACAAATCCAGCCTTGATTTGAAGTCTTATCAGAAAGATGGCATGTCCAGTGTTGGACTGTCAGCAATGTTCCCCCTGAGCTGTGTGTTCCTTGTAGAAGTAAAAAAAAATAGAGAAAATGTTGACTGTCAGTCAAAATTATGTGCTCAGTTTTATGTAATGAAGGCTGAACCTATGATCTGTGGGTACAGAGATCAGAAGACTGCCACTCAACCAAGGAATACACTATTTTGTTTGATTGCCCTTCCAATGTAATATTTGGATCTTGGGATGAATACAATGTGATATGCTTAACTCCCAATGCTGTTGTGTGTTGGTTTTAGGGAGTATTTCTCTTCAGTGCTGTTGAAATGACACCACTCACACTTGGGAATTATGTCTACCCCAAGTGGGGCCAGGGGATTGGCTGGTTCATGGCACTGTCCTCCATGGTATTTATCCCAGGATACACTGCCTACATGTTTTTCACCACAAAAGGAACCTTCACACAGGTATGAAATAAAAACCTGCAGTTCAAACTCTGAATGTTGGACTTTGTCTATCTTGCCCTGGTTATCTCTTTATTAGAGTAAGCTCAAATCAGTGGCTTCTTAATTCAATTAACTTGAGACCTGTGTAAAAATCCTGATAAGTGGTGATGACTCATTGCTATTGGAGGGATAAGAAGGGAGAACTCAGAAATTATATTATTCCTACCAGCTAATTATGAAGTTCTCACCATTAAGCAAATATAAGTTGAAGCCTAATGAAGTGTTTGGCAATTAAAGGTTGACTGTGACCATATGATTTATGAGAACAATGCGTGACCAGTGAGAAATGATTGGAAGCTATGGGCCAATAACTTTCTCGATTGTAAGTCATTTCCAGCAGTAAAAAAAAACACATTCCAAAAGACATTCACTACACAAAAGGACCTATTTGCACTGTTATATTCAGTGACGTTTGTCAGTGTTTTGGCAATTTTAGTATTTTGTTAAAATGCTGAAACATACGTGCATTTATTTTGCATGCTGGCCTCAGTATAATGCCAGTTTTTATGCAAAGTTTTAAGGAATTCTTAAGAAATGTTTATTTAGGCTCACCCTTTTACCTTGTATCTTTATTTGGAATGGAATCAATTGAAGTTCTGTGAGCAAAGAAGTTCTTAGTTCTGTCTGGCTTTTTTTGTAACGTTTACAGTTCATTGCTGTTGTGGTTTTATTCTGATACTTTATTAATATTTATTTTCTGGAAAAAAAGGAGACTTATTTGAACGCCTTAAGGTTAAATTTGTTTCAAAAGCATTTCAAATACAGTATTTCAACGATTAAGGTGGAATAAGGTGAAAGCAACAATACCAGCACATTTATACACCAATGACAGTGGGCAATTACCTTGGAACATCAAATCAGAGTTTATCCCTCTGCAACTAGGACACCAGCAGGCAAGAAGTCTGTACTAGTTTTCAGCCAAGTCACCATTACCCTTAATAGTTATATTTACAGCTTGTACCTCGTTGGTTTGAAACATTTGTTAATAAGTTGCCCTAACATGTAACAATCAGGCGATTGATGTATTGGTCAGTATGATGCTGTCATGTCACTCAAACTCAAGCCTATCCTTGTGTTAAAGTGGTATAACAAGCAGGGTCATCAGGAAATATGGGTATTGCAATATTTTCAATTGTACACTGCCCCTTCGCTTTGTTTCATATTGGATGAGGCTATGCATTAGCAATAGTTAGAGTTTCATGTTATGTCAGGACTTGATGTGGACTGGCTCTTTATTGAGAGAAGTTGTCTGGCCTGAAGAAGTTTCACTTCCCATTAAATTCTCAAAAAAAAGTCTGAAAATGTTAAAGCCAAATCTTGTTTAATAGATTTAATCAGTTTTGTATCAATTTGTGGGAGAATAATATATCCTAATGATTTTTGTTTTTATGAACAAAGAAGGATTAAGAGATGGCTTCATTACAACAGTTATTGGAAAGCTTACTTATTTTCAGTGCTTATGAGATCCTCTGGTTTAATGTGTTTATTAATTTATCAAAACACAATGGTTGAAATGTTTATCTTTGACTGATTTTTTAACATCCTATCTTTCTTTTGTTACTCTAGCGTTTGCAAATGATGACACAGCCCAGGCAAGGGATCATAATTCACAATAATGGGCTAAAATCCAACCCGTCTCCAAACAGTGGCTACGCTGATGCTACCGTTTAGTTCTCTATCTTTATAAAGGCAAAGGCTTTTTGTAAACCCCTTTAGCATCTTGCACAGCAATCCAGAAGTGTAAATAGATGGAAAAATAGATTAGAGCTTATCTGTCTGAACCAACTTCTTTTCAAGTTATGAAAGATATATTATTTATTTGATAAGTACTGTAAGATTAAACGTAAACATCACCTTTTGCACAGTGTAATGTTGTCATGAATAGAACTGCCTTCCTCTTTCCTATTATCATCACAAATCTGCTCAACATTGTGGGACTCTGTATTCACCTCTCTCTGAAATGATTGTAACCACTAAAGAATTTGAGGATGGCTAGGAAATACCATTATTTTGCTATAACTGTCTTGTGATTTGCCATCTGATGTGACTTTGCTGTAGCTTCTGTTAACATTAGTTGAAATTAACTGTTAAATGATGTGTCCATCCTAAGATCTAGGATTGTGTATCTCATCAGTCGCTCTTTACATGGTGAGTCAGGATCCTGATAAAACAAAGTTCTGAAAACAAATATTCAGGAAACTTGCTTATCTACTGACATACATAGCTGTTCTCTGTTATATGTTTTGCGCATAAACAGCTAGATATGTATGTTATCACTTTCGCAAGAAAGTGTCAGCAGACTGGTACAGATTGGGTCCTGAATATTAAAGGATACATTACATTTAGGAAGGACAGGAAACTGGGAAAAGGTGGAAGCATGACTCTATTCATTCTATTACCACTACAGGATAGGATAACTTAAGTTCGGGAAATCAGGATTTGGATTGAGATGAGCAATGATAAAGGCAAGAAGTGACAGGGTCACCACCACTACTCCACCCCACAAATAACCCCAACAATAACCAAATGGTAGGATGTAATATAAAAGAAGAAATGATTAGAGCTTGTTAGAAAGGATATACAAGAAAATTGAACGCAGTGAGAATGGAAATTGCAGAGGGACTGGAAATTATTCTTTTATTCTTCCCTGGACTGGAGTAGTGCCACAGGTTTGAAAAATGGCAAACATTCTGCCCTTTTTCAAAAACGCTTGTAAAAATTGGCTCAGCAATCACAGACCTGGCAGTTTAACTTTAGTGTGGTGAAACTTCTAGAAACTATTATTTGGAAAAGAATTAACAGTTACAGAAAGATGTGGATTAATTCAGAAGGTCAGAATGGATTTGTTAAGGGAAAATCCTGTCTAACTGTTTTGCTTGATTGTTTTGTTATGGTTTACATGAATTTTTAAGTACAGTGCCACACAGCAGACTTGAGGAACGTTATAGTTCATAGAATAAAAGGAACAGTAGCAACGTGGATACAAAATTGACTTTGGGTTAGGAGATTAATGGCCAACAGGTATTTTTCAGGCTGGAAGAAGGTTGTAGTGCTGTTCCCTAAGGGTAGGTATTAGGACCCTTACTTTTCATGAAATAGCCAGATGAACTAAATCTAGGGGACAATTTTTAAATTTGCAGATATCAGAAACTTAGGAGAATTGGAAACTGCGAGGAGTACGTAGATGAGTTGGTAGTGTGGGTGGACAAGTTGCAGATGCATTTCAATGCAGCGAAAGATGATGTGATATACTTTGATACAATGACCATGGAAAGACAGTGTAAAATAAAGGGTACTGTTCTAAAGGGTGTGCAGGAACAGAGAAACTGGGTGTATAGGTACATAAATCCTTAAAGGTGGCAAGAGCTGTTAATAAAACATGTAATGTTCTTTGGTTCATAAAAAGGGACTGAAAGTAAAAAAACTGGGAAATTATGATGATCTTATCTAAGACACTGGTTAACCTTAGCTGGAGCATTGTTCAGATCTGGTGCTGTGCTGCAGAAAGGATGTGAATGCATGGAAAGTGTATGGAAGAGATTTACAAGAATGGTTTGAGGGATGCGAGGATTTAGCTGTAAAGAAAGATTGGAGAAGTTGGTACTGTTTTCTTTGGAGAGAAGAAGGCTAAGAGGAGTTTTGATAGAAATTTTAAAAATCACGAGGTCTGAGTGAATAGGGAGAAATGGTTCCTACTCTAAAATGGATCAAGAAAGAGAAGGCACAGTTTTGAAGTGTATTACAATAGAAACTAATGTGTGGTGAGAAACTATTTTTTTCACACAGCATGTAGATAGAGTATGGAATGCACTACCTGGAGGTGTGGTAGAGGCAGGTTCAATCAAGGGCATTGGATGATTATTTAAATAGAAACAAGTTTAGGGAGAAAGGCAAGAGAATGGTACTAACTTATAATGCTCAGATAGCCAGCACACACAAAATTGGCTGAATAGCCTCATTTTGAACTGTAACAGTTCTGTGAAATGTATTGCAATAATCATGGGGGCTTTTAATCCATATATAGACTTGAGAAGTCAGACAGGCAAAGGTGGTATATGTGAAGAGCTTGTGCAATGTTTTCAAATAGTTTCTTAGAACAGCACATTCTAGAGCCAACCAATGTTGCATCATGGTATTGTGCAATCAGATAGGATTAATTATTTTAAGGGGATATTTCAGAATACAAAGAATAGTTATATTCCAATATGAAACAACAATTCCAAGAGGAGCACCCACTGTCCATAGTTAACAAAAACAGTGCTTGCCTTCATCAGTCAGAGCATTGAGTACAGGAGTAGACATATCATGTTACAGCTGTACAGGACATTGGTAATGCCACATTTGGAGTATTGTGTACAATTCTGGTCACCCTGCTATAAGAAAGATGTTATTAAACTTGAAAGGTTGCAAAAAAGATTTACAAGGATGTTACCAAGACTGGAAGGTTTAAGTTATAAGGAGAGGCTGGGGTGTCTTTCCCTGGAGCGTAGGAGGCGGTGGGGTGACCTTGTAGAGGTTTATAAAATCATGAGGGGCATAGATAGGGTGAATAGCCAAGGTCTTTTCCACAAGGCAGAGGAATTCAAAACTAGAGGGCATAGGTTTAAGGTGAGAGGGAAATATTTAAAAGGGACATGAGAGGTAATGTTTTCACACAGAAGGTGGTGCATATGTGGGATGAGCTGCCTGAGGCAGTGGTAGAGACTGGTAGAATTACAACATTTAAAAGACATTTGGACAGGTACATGAATAGGAAAAGTTTAGAGGGATATGGGCCAAATGCAGGCAAATGAGACTAGTTCAGTTTGGGAATCCTGATCGGCATGGACAGGTTGGGCTGAAGGGACTGTTTTCGTGCTGTATGATTCTATGACTCAATAGTATAAAACCTAAAGACAAAGCATATGATTGCAAAGATGGGTGGCAAGTCACAAGACTGGACAGAATATAACAGACAGCAAAGATTAAGACAGCAATGACTAAAACATTAATAATGTGGTAAAATAAAGCTAGCCGTAAATATAAAAAGCAGATAGTAACAGATTTTAGAAAGATATAAAAAAGAAAAGAGTGAGTATTGGCTCTACAGAAAGTAATTCTGGGGCATTAATAATGGAGAATAAGGGGATGAATGATGAATTGGACAGGTATTTTGCACCGGTTAGGTGCTGTAACGAAAATATAAAACATCCAAGAAATAGCTGTACATCAGAAAATGGAAAGGAGACAGGAACTCAAGAAAATTACAATAACCAAAGAAGTGATATTAAAACATTGGAACTGCATCCTGATGAACTTCATTCAAGAGTCCTAAAAAAAGTGACTAGTGAGATAGATATGTGATTGTTTTACTTTTTGAAAAGTCCATGATTTGGTCAAGGTTTATTTACATCGGAGACTAATGAATGTAACTCCTTTATTCAAAAATGAAGGAAGCTACAAGCAAGTTAGCTTAACATCTGTCACAGGAAAATCTTAGAAGGCTTTATTAAAAACATTAAGGTAAGACACATGGCAAATTCAGGGTGATCAGGTAGCGTAAACATGGTTTTGTGAAAGGGAAATCAAAGTTAACCAATCTTTTTGGTACTCTTTGAGGAAGTAACATGTGCTGTGGACAAAGGGGAACTGGTGGATGTACTGTCCTTAATCTTTAATAATGCATATGAAAAGTGCCACAACATTGAAGAAAATAAAATCTCATGGAGAAAAGGGTAATATGTTGGCATCAATAGAATCCCTACAGTGTGGAAACAGGCCCCTCAGCCCAACAAGTCCACACCAACCCTTGGAGCATCCCACCCAGACCCATTCCCTTATAAACCACACATCCCTGAACACTACGGGCAATTTAGCATGGCCAATCCACCTAACCTGCACATCTTTGGACCAGAGTACCTGGAGGAAACCCACTCTGACAATGGGGAGAATGTGCAAACTCCACACAGACAGTTGCCACAAGGATGGAATTGAACCTGGGTCCCTGGTGCTGTGAGGCAGCAGTACTAACCACTGAGCCACTGTGCTGTCAATTGGCTAACTAATAGGAAACAGAGTAGGCATGAATGAGTCATTTTCTGGTTGACAACATATAATGAGTTGAGTGACACAGTGTTTGGAACCTCAACTGTTCATAATTTATATGAATGACTTGGATGAAGGGGTCAAAAGTACAGCTACTAAATTTGTTGATGACACAAAGGTAGGTAGGAAAATACATTGTGAAGAGAATGTGAGGATGCTACAAAGTAATAGCAATAGGATTCATGAGCAGGGACCTGGAAAATAGAATTTAATGAGGGAAAATGTGAAAATGTCCATTTTGGCAGAAAGAATAAAAATAATGTATTACCTGAATGGTGAGAAGTTGAAGATCACACAGACAATCACCCCTGGGTGGAATTTAACTCACCAGGGACCAGGGGTTTGATTCCACCCTCGGGCAACTGTCTGTGTGGAGTTTGCACATCCTCCCCGTGTCTGCGTGGGTTTCCTCCAGGTGCTCCGGTTTCCTCCCACAGTCCAAAGATGTGTAGGCTAGGTGGATTGGCCATGCTAAATTGCCCGTGGTGTTCAGGGTGGTGTAGATTAGGTGGGTTATAGGGGGATGGGTCTGGGGATCAGTGTGGACTTGTTAAGGGGTGGCACGGTGGCACGATGGCACGATGGTTAGCACTGCTGCCTCACAGCACCAGGGACCCAG